TTTTTTTTTACCGCGAGCTTGTTAAATGCTTCTATAAACTGCAATTTGATTTGTGAAAATTGACCAAGAAAATGAAAAGTTATAGCAATTCAAAATTTACGAATTTTATAGAATTTCATGTTCTTATGCAACATTAATCTGTCATTTTGACAATGTTGGCATAAGGTGCCGAGGACGAACATTTGAGTATATACGGAACATTTATTAATTTTTTCTGCGAAGTGAGTCTCATGAACGACAATTCACCACAATTTTGGTAAAATTAATGTTGAAATGAAGAATATATTTCAGTCTAATGTTAGTGCAAAATATCATTAGGCCTTTGTAATCACCGCACGACGCGCGACTAACATGGCAACAAAACCACTGACCTGTATATCATCAGAAACGTTACACTTTGCGCCCAAACTTTTTCAGACGTTGAGGGCGATGCTTGGTTCGCCTCTAATTTTTCTATACTTTTGGAGAGTGTCCAAGGACTTTCGTTAACCCCTCTCTTAAAAATGGACGGTCACGCGAACAGTGTCTTGGCGTTGCCGTCACGCTCCATTAGTTCGTAGTAGACTGGCCGCGTAGTTGCGTTGTGTGAATGTAATTGTATTTTTGGCGGTTGTGGCCTGCGTCGTAGTACGTTGTGTGCTTGAGTTAGTACGTTGTGTGTTTGTAAATGTATTTTTGGCGGTTGTGGCCTGCATCGTAGTACGTATTTTTGGCGGTGTTGGCCTACGTTGTGTGTTTGAGTTAGTACGTTGCGTGTTTGTGCTAACACGTTGTGTGTTTGTGCTAGTACGTTGTGTGTTTGTAATTGTATTTTTGGCGGCGTTTGCCTTCCATAAGCAGGCAGCCAATAAGTGCTTCTTCAGATCAAGAAACTGCAGCTTGATTTCTTGGGCCAGGGAGGAAGGGGTATAGGAAAGACAAATGGAAGGAGATAGAGGGCGCCACAGAACAACTTTTAATTTCTCAGCCATAGATAGAGTTGCGATATTGAGAATTTAGAAGCTATTTTGTGTACAACGCGATGCGTGTTCTGTGTCTTAACAAGATGTGCTTTCCTGCGTATATAATATTGTATAATACAATTAATGTAATAAATTTCATTTAATCTTTTCCAGCAGTCGAATTTCATTTAACTATATTTATAGATTATTTTTTTATGATTTCACTACTTTATATCCAATTTTCATATACTGTAATAATTTACTATTTTTAAGCAGTTCTCCTTGTCGAAAGACCAAGAGCCCCCCCCCGTCGATGGCAAGCATTCTTCATTTAGGCATTCCTGTCATATAGCCCCTTAAGTGGCTCCTGTTATTTTGCTGAAATAAATGATATACTGTATGACGATCAGCAAATATTAATTAGGCTATATATGTACCTGTATATAAAAATGTAATTAAGATTAGTTACTCTTTCATATTATTTTCGATTACATGTGTTGTTCATGTTATCTAATTTGTGTGGGAAAAACGATAATGAAACAACAAAATATCCTAGTATTTTTCCTTGAATTTTGCAAAGAGAAACAAGTGATTTTCGAAATCATAATCAAACAAAAAAAAAAGATATACTGAAGATTTCTTTGCCAAAATTACTCCTATTATTATTTATAGTAAAAATATTAAAATAGTATGTCAAGTGGGCCATATCATTTTCGTTCACAAATTGAGAGTAGGCCTACACCTACGGAGCCCCTAAAGGTACATGGTTAGAAAAAATTATTTTCCATTTCGTTCCCTCAAAATTATTATTTCGTTTCCTCAAAATAATATTTCGTTCCCTCAAAACATTATTTACAAAAATTATTAATAAAATTAAAATGTCTTTACAAAAATCGATTAAATACAAGATGCAATTCAACTTGCAGCCTTTCCTTGCTTAGAGCCATCGCTTGGAAACAGTCGTATGATGCGATGAAACCGACTGCGCCATTATTAATTATAGTGGTAATGGCCGGCAGTAAAGTACATGCTGAAACGCCCATTGCTTTGAGTGCATGAAGCACACTAGTGTTTGTTGAAAATTTCGTTTAGTTCATGTACTGTATAAAATTTCCTGCACATCTGCCGTTCAAAACTGGCACTGAATCAATCGGCTTAGCGATTTTAATAAAAAAAAAAACTTTGCCCCAACGGCCGCCCATACAAATAAGATCTACTACAGTATTAGCAAAATAGATGTACAGTACAGTATTAGTAATAAGGTCTACAGTATTACCATAGAGAAAATAGTCTGTTCTATTTCTCTATGGTATTACAGACCTGCCAACTCACCGATATTTAAACAAATCTCCCGATCGAATATAATTTTCACCCTATTTCACAGGCAACCCCTCCCCAAAAATACTCCGACGATTTATGCATAATTTGATTTAATCGTTATTTTTCAATGTAGCCTATTCGCCGCCAACTCGCTTCGCGGTGCAATAAACAAGCAGCCATTTTCAATTCGAATGTCGCCATTAACGGCCAACGATTTGTAGTGACGAACTTTTTGGTATCTTGCATCATCATTTAGTTAATTCTGGAAACCTCCAGACTTTTTGGGAAATCTCCAGTTTTTGTTTTTTTTTTAATTCTTAGAAAAATCTCCCAAGATTTTCATGACCCAAGTGTTGGCAGGTCTGGTACAGTATTACCAGGGAACAGCGAAATTACAAATTTGTAATTTCACTGTTTCATTGGTATTACAGTACCAATCTGCAGTGTAACCCTAGAGCTCGTCATCAGAGCTAAAAACAGTAAAAATGTTGTAGTGTGAAATTTCAGATATTTCTCCCAGAAAAAATATTGTTTTTAGCATACCACTGCTCAAGATGTTGGAAAAGTGCATTTTCAATGATCCAAGACCAGTGAAGAATATTTCTTCACTGGACTAAGGGCAAACGGAAAAATTTATTAGATATCCGCGTCAAAAATTCGGGGAAATATATTTTTTGCCGCATCAATTATTTTAACAGCATAAAATAATGCAATTTTGTGACTGCAAATACATTTTCTTTAAAAAAAAAACTAAAATTAAACCAGTTTTTATACAATATTTACTATTACAAAAATTTTAAAAAATCAAAAATTTTAATAAAGCTGGTTTTCCACTAGGCGAATTTATTCTACGCAAATCAAAGCATCGGTACGCTTCCTGAGCTCTGATTAGTTGAGCATTTGTGAGGTCTCACTACAAAATGAGTCTCATTAGAAAATCAAAAAATTAGTTAATATTACATATTGGTAGATCGCATTATAAGTTTTAATTTGGTCTTTGAATGGCTTCCCTAGGATAAATAGATCCAGAGAAGTTGGCATTTAAAGTTTAGGTGTACGAGAACCAGGTTTTGAGAAAATCGACCTCAAAGATAAACTAGCCTGTACAAATAATAGGACTAGAATTACAGAATATGCGAAGAGAACACCGTTTTAGTAAGAAAATTCACTTAAAATGTACACAATCATAAAATATAAGTATCAAGTTATTCAAAAACATTAAAATCAAAATTTTGTAAAAATGTTGCCTATGACCTATTTTGGTGAATATCTCAATATGATTTCACCAACGATGCGTCTCATTTTGTGGCGAGACCTCACATTTTTTGTTTCGCAAAACTACCAATATAAATGTGAATGCACATAAGCCAACGCTTTTCGCCTAGTGAAAAAAAGGGCTTCAGGCAGTACCACATTTATCGTACAACTTCTGATACACATACAGGTCTGCAAGTACATTTTCCCCAATTTTTCTACAGTATTACACATTCTTTACTTGGGGTAACATCCCTTGATTGAATACTGTACTGTAATAATGTTAATGCAAGTGACGCATCTTCAAGCTGCGATACAAAAATCAATGAATGAAAGGTAAACAATCGATTTTGAGTGCAGTACACATTTTCAATATTGAATTTACTTTATTGTTACTGCCAACTTTACATGGAACACAGACAAGACTTATGAAATAAAGTGATTTCTTATGGGTTAAAAATCTGGTTGTTTTTTTTTTAAACTGAAGTTCTAGTATAAATGAAAATCTAAAAAAAATTAATAGAGGCATTGCATCTATTTAAATGTTTTTTTCTTCTGAAAAATTTCCTGTGACTTTTTATGGAGAGCCACTTTCTTAAGTTTATTTTATTTATTATAGAGTTCGTGGAGGCATTGGAACATGGCATTAGAATTGCAAGTGTGCAGAGATCCATTTTCTGTAAATGGAGATTACATTCAGCAAGACATCACTTTTTCTTGCCAGCCTTTTGTGCAGACTTGGTCACTTTTTGTTTTCCCTCGGCTTTTTCAACACCTTTTATGACGCCAACAGCAACAGTCTGCTTCATATCTCTGACAGCAAAACGTCCAAGGGGAGCATAATCAGCAAATGCTTCAACACACATTGGTTTGCTGGGAACAAGTTTAACAATAGCTGAATCACCACTCTTTACAGATTGTGGGTTATCTTCAAGCTTCTTTCCAGAACGGCGATCACATTTTTCCAACAGCTCTGCAAACTTGCAAGCAATGTGAGCAGTATGGCAATCCAATACTGGAGAATAGCCAGCCCTGATTTGACCAGGATGGTTGAGCACAATAACCTATGTGAAAATTAGTTAAGTAGTTAATAAACATACAAGCAAAGCTCATTAAATATTTGTAAACAGGCAACATTGGGAAACTATTGTAGAATGCAACAGAGGTAAATTACAGCTTGTAGACATTTTGGAGTAGAATTCTAATCCCAGGTCCTATGTTCTATTCCTATCATGGTAACAGGATCTTATCTCACGATCTAAACAACTCCACTCCCTAAGCCTCATAGAGACTTAGTAAATGTAGAGCATCTTGTGTGCATATTTGTCTTGGCCTTAGTGCATAAAGCTAAACTAAAAATTCAACCTTTTCAATGGTGTTTGTGTCACGAGATTTAATCAAATTAATGTATCCACTACCAATGCATTATACATTACTATTTATGTCGCAAGAAGAAAATCAGAACCATAAATATGGCTATTAATACTAATCACAAAGCTACAAATTAATATTTCTTGCAGTCCACTTCAACATACCTGTGCATTGAAGCTCTTGGCTTCCTTGGGGGGATCATTTTTGGAATCGCCAGCAACGTTACCGCGACGAATTTCTTTCACAGACACATTCTTTATATTGAACCCTACATTATCTCCGGGGAGCGCTTCTGTCATGGCTTCGTGGTGCATTTCCACAGACTTGACCTCAGTGGTGATACCAGTAGGAGCAAAAGTAACCACCATACCTGGCTTTATTATACCAGTCTCAACACGACCAACTGGCACAGTTCCAATACCTGTAAAGATGACAAGTGTTATTAGACACATTCATGGTTTACTGAACGCCAAGTGCATATTTGATTCAACTTTCCTCTACGCTCAACCAGCCATTTTTAGTGTCGATAATAATGACTGAAGTTCCCATTTCACAAAATAAATACAAGTCTGCCAATTTAACTAGAGAATATACAGCACCCCTTGACAAGACTGAATATTACAAACTACACATTACCAAGTGAAATAAACTACAGTAAATATTTAGTATTTACAAGTCAATTGGGACAGCATTGCAACTATTTATTGCACACTTGACATGATTAACAGCAAATCTACGCATATGGCGAATCACTGGACTGACATGCATGTATTTTTGAGGTTGAACTAAGTAGGTTTTGATGTTCGTACATAGGAGTTCAATTATAATTTTGCTGTTTTTATCAAAATGCAATTATAACTTCGTACACTTGTCAAAGAAGTGATGATTTGAAAATTCTTGTGTTTTTTTCACTATTTTAACCAGACTAACACTAATCAGTGACATGAGATTGGGGCACCGGGGCAAATACCTCAGCAATACAAGCACTAATTTCGGAGTGTGCAACTCCATACCAGTTCCTATCATGTGTTTTTATAAGATACACAAATTGTACTTAATACACTACGGAAAAGTGTCCTAATTGGAAAATTTAAGCGTGTATACCACCTTGGCCCCGACTCGGTATTAATTTAATTCAAATATTTCAGACATCCAGGAAATAGGGATACTGTACAAAAGTAAAATCAGTGCAACTGATACCAAAGTTACTATAATATAGGTATTGTTGTATCAATAATCTAAAATTAGGAAAACATTACTGTTTCAAATGGTTTAATTAAAATAATTCACGAACAAATGAACTTGCCTCCAATCTTGTAAACATCTTGAAGTGGTAGGCGCAGAGCTTTCTCTGTTGGCCTTTTTGGTGGCAGTATAGCATCCAATGCTTCAAAGAGTGTTTTACCACTGGCATTTCCTTCCTTTCTTTCAACGGACCATCCTTTGTACCATGGCATATTTTCAGATGGCTCCAACATGTTGTCACCATGCCAACCAGAAATTGGACAAAATGCAACAGCCTTGGGGTTGTATCCTACTTTCTTTACGTAAGTAGTCACCTCTTTCACAATCTCCTTAAATCGTGCCTAGGTTGGATATAACAAAAATTACCTTAGTGGCACAAATTCCAGAAAACAATTTATAAAAGACATTCTAGTCCTTAAAGTATCGCATACAAAATAACCATAGAATCAGAATTGCATCAATTATCTTTGTATTTGTTGTCAGCAATACATTAGTGAAATATTGTTGAATAAGTAAACAAATAAAAAATATTTGCTCCCTTCATACTTTAAGTTTACTAATCCAAAGCGAACAATTATTGGGAAAAAACAATAAAAAAAAAAATTTGCTGGCTAATGGCCAATACATGTATATTTCTATATCCAATGTACTGTAATGTATTTTTCAGTAGTTATCAACAATCTTACCTCGCTGTAAGGTGGTTCGGTGTTGTCCATCTTGTTTACTCCAATGATCATTTGCTTCACGCCAAGAGTGTAGGCAAGGAGAGCATGCTCTCTTGTCTGCCCGTTCTTTGAGATACCAGCTTCAAATTCACCAGTACCGGCAGCAACAATGAGTACAGCACAATCAGCCTGGAGATAAACCAGAAAGGATTATAAAATATGAACTTGTTGTACACTACGCAACAATAGCTTCAAATAAGCAAATTTTCAGGTGCTGCTAGTATGCACACATCTAGTTGGAGAAAAGCGATTTTCTAAAGGGTTTTATTCAATAAATAGTACATTACATAGTTCTGGTATTTATGGATTATGAAGTCAGTGGATTGGAGATAAAAGCATTGCGATAAATACAAGTATATATTTCAAGGTAACAAGCAATTGTTTAGTTTAGTAGGATTGCATTTTTTTTTCGCCGAGGTTTTTCTTGCATTATAGCCCCAATTGATTTCTTGTACAGTTGAACCCAAGTCCAATCCTAAATGGCAACTAGTCGTTATTAATGGAAAACACAATTTGGCATGTAAAAATAATTCGATTTAAGCAAGTTTCACTGTATATCAGAACTCTTAACCTTGTTAGGCGAGACTTGTTATACCTGTTATGCCAACTATTTTTTTTAAAGATCGTCAGAGGGTGAAAATAAAAATTATCAAATGGTTTTGCCAAAAACATCCAGACGGAAAATAAAAACCGTGTAGTAATGGGCAGGGGCCTTTCACTGCTGTTGTAAATCCAAGGCTCGGGTGGCAGGTTCGTTAAAAATAGTATAAAACTATATAGACTCCTAAAAATATTACAAAAAAGATGCCTGCCTATTTTTGTTGCCAATTCCAAGCTGACAACACGTTAAAATGGACTTTTAGTTAGAGGGATTTGATAAAAATTTAAAGTGAATCCCAGACAAAATGCATGGGTCGCACCTAAAATTTGTTCAACTTTAGGTGCAGTGAACTGAATGTAACCTAATTAAGACATCATTGTACTATAAATGCAGAGTAAACTGAAGTCACAAACACAACAACACAATTTTAAATGGCTAAATATCTTGTACAAATAATGACATACCTGAGACGTTCCTGTGATCATGTTCTTGATGAAATCACGATGTCCTGGGGCATCAATGATAGTCACATAAAATTTAGTTGTCTCAAATTTCCATAAAGCAATGTCAATGGTAATACCACGTTCTCGCTCGGCTTTCAGCTTGTCCAATACCCAGGCATATTTGAAAGATCCCTTGCCCATCTGTTGGTAGAAAAAAGGTGGTCACTAACAGATATTCAAGTCTGTGTTATGCTAAAAACTTTAAATGCAATAAAGTCTGTTAACCTCGCATTGGGAATTTTGTATGGATTTATACAACATCTAAAGTATTGCAATGGCCTACACAAATCACATTGTTTTCATTATGAGAGTAAGCATACATGCTGAAGGTATCAACATAGCAAATTATTAGGTTGCTATATATTTTAGTAGGTAATGAATGGTCAAAGCAGACAATATTACATTACTGAGTGGAATTACTTTGCTTTGGCAGATTTCCAGGGAGGTCCTACACTTACTTGAGTAGTTTTCTAATTTAATATTTAATTGCAATATCTCAATGGCTTCACAAAATGCATTGTATTTTTTAATATTCAAATGGTTTTCCTTGTAACACATTTCCCCCCCCCAAAAAAAACGTTATAAATAAATGAATCTGTAATAAACAGCATTTCAACAAATTTTTCTTTAAATTCAACTTTATTCACTTGTAAAAGGTGCTACCCATTTTGATTTTCATCGGTTATTGGACTAATATGGTTACTATTTTAAAATTTGTAGTTACCTCTGCTGCTTCTTTCTCGAACTTTTCAATGGCTCTCTTGTCAATCCCTCCACACTTGTAGATAAGATGACCAGTTGAGGTTGATTTGCCAGAGTCGACATGTCCAATGACGACAATGTTGATATGGATCTTTTCCTTTGGCATTTTCCTGTATTTGACAAGTGGTCTGAATTTGAGAATGTGTCAGCTGGCCTGAAATTTAGAAACAAAGACATGTATTTTCCTGTAACCATATTTGAGTATGGCAAAATAAAAGCATTTAAAAAATATTCATCTAATTCAATATTTACTGTTAATACAGTAAGGTAAAAATAGAGAAATGTAATATCTGCATCAAAGTTCTATTTTTTTTTTTACACTTGTTTTGTCATACAATTACCTCTTTAATCTATGCTTTTCTAAACTTCTGCACGATTAAATACCTTGCGATTAATTTGTCTTCATATATTGACCATTAAAAAATTCAATTGAACGATTAACAGATTTATTGTAGGTACAAGATTGCGGTCAATACAAATTCAAGCCTAAATTTTTGCACAGAGCTTTTGCACATTCAGAGCTGCCTTAAGATTTATTACACATTCTTTCTTGCAGTTTACACCATTTGACACAAGATATATCCAGAATAAACTGCTTAGTAGCGCATTCGTAACTTTCGTAGAGCAACTTAATTGAGGCATGCTAAGCAAAATAGCCAAGTTGCAGCAAAAATTGAAATTCAAATTATTGGTATTTTCAGATACCCTTTTATGTAATCTTTAAAATGAGAGGTCATTCATTGAAATTGGACATTTCAAGCCTTAGTTACTGGGAATTTAAAGTACAGCACTTTTAGACTCAAGATAAACATTTTGAGTAATTGCCTTTTAAAGTTATTTGTTAATACATTGTTGACGTTAAATGATTTGCTGACCATTTCCAGAACTAAGACTTTGGGACGCAAGACATTTAAACTATGGCTTTAAGGTAATTTTATTGAGCTCGCATATGTTATAGCTCATTTACTCAATAGTGTGCGATCATTTTGCCACGACATGCCTCGAATGAAAAAACATAGCCAAAGTGTTCAGTTGGTTTCTGGGATTCCTCTCAAGCAGTCTCTGGATAATTAAGTAGTACCGATAGGAGTTTTTGTCAATCAATGTTTATCTTCTACAAAAAAAATTGTGTTTCATTGAACGTTTCAGTCTACATGACTAGGCCTAGTGACTTGTTATATTATGATTTTTAAGCCTATTTTAAAGAGATTAGCACATTTTCTGTCCATTAACTAAGTCAGTAGTGATTAATGTTAAACATGTTCACTCTGTTTCTACTGCCCAGTTGAGGGCAAATAGACACTTCCAATTACCTCTATACTTGTAAGAGTAAATCCGGTTACAGAAATTTTTTTTTCTTTTTCGGATAGAACAACAGTTATAAGCTAAAGAGTCCTTCAGCTGGCTCTAGTTAGACTAAAGTATCATGCTATGCCTAGACCTGTGCCAGAAAGAACCATGTCCATCAACTAATTCATTACTGATTAATGTTTTAATGATTAATGTCCATTAACTAAGTCAGTAGTGATTAATGTTAAACATGTTCACTGTTTCTACTGCCCAGTTGAGGGCAAATAGACACTTCCAATTACTTCTATACTTATAAGAGTAAATCTGGTTGCAGGAATTTTTTTTTCCTTTTTCAGATGAAATACCAGTCATAAGCTAAATAGTACTTCAGAAAATACCAAATAATGGGCAATTAAGCCTACTGCCGCTGATTTGCAAATTAAAAGTAGACAAAAAATATATCAAGTATAGACAATTGCTCAACCCTGGGACCCATTTTATTAATTGATGGACTATTAAACTACCTAAAAGGAATACACAATTACTATATAATATCCACATTTTCTGAAAGTACTGCAACTGGGGTCCAAAATTGGAAGGAATCAATACTAGCAGATTTTAGGACATTTGGTTACTTTAACTTTCTAAATGCATTCAATAATAAATAGGATTTGGGATTTTTGCTTGCTTGAGAGAGTAAAGATGCAGTACTGATTTTTTAGACTAGCAGTAGTCGTGACACCCATGAAGTAATTAACTTTACCTCAGGTTAATATAATATAATTTGTGATTAGGCCTAATTAAATTGTATATTAAAACACATTTACATCCGTTTTTCTATTGCTGAACTCGTAAGAAAACAGACCCAGCCTAGGCTACTAACTAGGGATAGGCCTATGCACTGCCACAAAACATTTTGGCCACCATGTATTTAACACCAAGAAAACATGCAGCAAAACAGTTAGGTATTAAACACCAGAAAATCAAGATTAAGTGTGTTTTATTGGTCTTATTAAAATTTACACTATCCTTACAAGTTTGAAAAATCCACTAGGAAAATAGGTGCGCAGAATCATAATTAACTGCCAATACATTTGTTATAATAAGATTTGGTCAAAGCAGAATTTTTGTCAATATATGTGCGGAAATAAGCCCTTATTTTCTAAAATGTGCAGGCAGATTTCTCGAACTAATTTTTGCGGAAGATATATTACCAGTGCAAACCTTATCTTACAGTCTGGGCCTAGGCTTTTCTTAGCAAATTGATGTTTGTATTTGTCCTTTTTGCTCTCAAGTCCACATGCATATCTATTATATTATCACATACTCCAAGTATTGAAATGCACGCCATCGTGTTGGGATTCAATATTTCGACACTAATTAAGTCATCATGACATAATGTCGAAATATTGAATCCCAACACGATGGCGTGCATTTCAATACTTGGATTATGTACTATACTTTCTTATCCGAGATTAATCAGTGGAGCTTTCGGTATTATATTATCGTTATCAGTATTAGGATATTTATTAGCCATACAATGACCTAAAACATTTTATACAAAATGTGTCCAATACATCACAGCCACACTTGTTCGCAGCCTAAACAGTCCTACACTGGCCTATGCTTCAAGGTGTTTTTGTATTGGGGTAGGCCTATGTCATCTGTTCTTTGAGGTCTTTTCAAAACTCCTTTAATTAAATTTTGAAACACTAGCCTAGGCCTACATTAGGTTATGAAGGGTTTAACAAGTTACTGCTGTAGGAAGACAAACATAATTTTAACCTTATGTTATGGTTAGGCCCAAGCCACATTCATGTAAAAAATGCTCTCTTAAAACTAACTTTCGACTGGTTGTGCAATGATTAAACTACATATGGCCTTGGAATCCGACAAGGCTGTCAAGCTGGCCTGCAATTACTAATTAGGCCTATATTATAAAATAAGGCGGATCATCAGTGTAGTATTTGATTGTGCAATAAATGAAGATCCCAATTTAATTAATTACCATCCATAGGCCTAGCATGGGCCCTGTAACTATATCTTTCTTCAAACCAAATTTTTGAACATATTGCACAATAAAATTAAATTTTCGGTCTAGGCCTAGCCTGGGCTGAATTGAGAAGTAATATATTTCCCAAATAGGACAAAATACTTCACCAGCATACCGGTCGATCCACTCCCTTTTTTTTTTTTGCGATTCCTATTTTCATTGACTAGAGGAGCGACAATTATCAGAATCGATTAAATAATTTAAAATTTGCCAACAGAATGTATTATACTCCACAGAGAGCCAATAAGACAGATTTAATAATTAATATCATTGTTAAAATGGTTCATTTAAAAACTAACAACAGGCGATCAGTGATGTTCTTTTCAGAACCAGATAACCGGCATCTCATGGCAAGCAGCTAAGAAAATTTCTCACCAATTTAGTTAACGCAGTATGAAAATTAACGTTTAACACAATACAGTAAAATGTAAACTTTTAAATGATGCATTAAAACACAATTATGTACTTTCGATGAAGAAGGTTTTAAATGATTCTACGTCAAACCATTGCACTTTACTTCAAACGTTGCTTACCTTGTTCCTGCCACGCGAATAAAAAGGCAGAAATATGGCGATCACGTGGTATATATATGATAGACGAGGGGTACTTGGTAATGACGTCATATTTTCATTGAAGCTATCCCTCTATCGCACAATATCCCATACAGTATATTATGTACAATATCGTTTCCGGTATTTCATCATAATGCAAGAATCCAAGAGATTCGTCTCAACGAGGATACAGATAGTAACAAGACAATTAGGCTATATAGCCCGTTGAAATTTAGGGATATTTGTCCGAAAGTAAATCATATTGGGGTGGGGGGAGGAAGGGAGGTGGATGACTCACCCGGTTTCAATTTTTGAAAGTTAAAAAAAAAATTTTTTAAAAAATGATCGCCCAAAAAGGCCTTAGGTTTAATTTTCGGGCATCGTCTAGAACCCCCTATGGTTGTGTTATCTTTATCGACCCCACTTTCGCCACCCCAACCCCTTTTCTGACATCTCTGGATCCGCCCCTGACAAATAGGCCTACTTGTGTTGCATCTCCCCCACCAAACCCCCATCGAGAAAAAGAAAAGGTTTCGTCGGGGAATAAAAAAAAATATCTGTTAGGCCTATGCCTATAGCCTTCTAACGATAAAGATAAAAAGCTAAAAAGCAATTGTACATATAGAAAATAAAAGAAATAAGAGAAGTTTTGATTAAGAAATGCGAAAACAAAAATATTTTCACAAATCAAATCAAATGACGTCATAAACGATAAAATCTTTTTTACTACTACGTACGATTTTATCTTTCCCAATGATTATGGGGCGTCATTTGATTTGATTTGTTAACAAAAGTTTTTGTATGGTATACACGATAAAACTTTATCGAATCATGCTAAAACTTCCGCTTATTCCTTTTCATTTTTTATCTGAAACCTTCTAGCTTCTTTTTTTTTTTCGTTATCGTTGCAAGTAAACAGGCGGCATAGAATCTAGCACAATACTATAAGTCGTCATTGAGCTATTCGTAACTCCCTGACACCGTAACTTTTCTCATTGATCTCCTTAGAATTTGTGATAGAGGCAGTGGCGTATCTAGAAGTTTTGAAATGGGGGGTGGGGGTAGATACGACTGGATAGAGGGAAGTAGGCCTGCCCATCGACATTTGTTTGACAACTACAACAATAAAGTTGACTATATTCGGTTTCATTTCATTATTTTATCTTCAGAAAAAACCAACGAGATGTTAGTCAACAACTCCCTGGAAAAACATAGGCCTACGACACTACAAATAAGTGTCGCGCCTCCTGCGTAAAGGCCTGGTATAATTATGTTTTAAACAGGCCTCCGTAAAGTACAGATAATAATGTTGAATATAATTCGTTAAAGTCTATGCAAAAGGAGTACCGGTACTAGGCCATTTTTTTCTCTACAAGATCAATAAGTTTTCAGTGTATTCTGGTATTAGGCCTATAAGTTGATGTTTAATTAAAAGTATACAGCAATAAATGGAATTTTTAATATTTTCAAGTTCATGAGACAGCTAAAGGTGCATCTTTAAACGATAAAATTGATCTAGGATAGCCCCAAAACACAAAAGCACATTTGTTTTCGTTTGGGGTCCTTGAAAAATTATATTCCAAAGTCCTAACGGCTAAGTTCCTGACTGAAACCACTAGGCCACATTGAAATTGTGCCTATATTTCACATAAAAATTAGAGACAGCATGGCTGACGTACATGTATTGAGAATTCTTTTTTTCTCAATTTTTTGTTAATCCTCCACTGGCCGCTAACTTCAACGATAATTGTTTAATAACTGGCTGAGCAATTAATACTGTATAAGGCTTCTAAGTTCCGTTACTCTAAAACACGAGACTGAGTATCTCCTCTGTTGTTTGATGACTTTGTATAGAAAAGTGATAAGAAAAATATTATAGTGTATTGTAATATTAATTATTTGCTCATGTGATCCTTGAGAGTCAATTTATAAACTTGAATGAACGGCGGCAAATTAGTTCCACTGCAGAGGCTGTAAAAAATTAAAATGCCCCGTTGATTTCAATTTAAATAGAGATAGATCTGAGTTCCGAACTTGAGCGCGCATAAAGAAGCCATGCTAGACCCTTGTCTCAAGTAAAGAAAATTAGACTTAGGCCTATTTTATTAAAGGAAAATGATTTGGTTGCCTCGTTATTACATTGGATAGAAACTTTGAGATGATTTGTCGATTACACCTTTAAGAGGGTCTTCTTATTAATAGGCCCTCCAGTAAAAAGCTTTTGTAAGCTATTAATTTGATATCGATTCAATTTATTTATAGGCCCGGGAAGCCAACTATGTGGTAGTGTACTAAACCATCAGTTTATTTTTAAGGAATACGCCCTAATTTGTCCTTATATTATGTAGATTCGTTTCATTGTTCAGTTCAGACTGAAAGTGTTACGGTAGGTTGCGAGGAAGAATTAAATTTAACGTGGCCCCTCTCAAATGTACGGTAGCAAATTACTTCTGAAACTCTTGTTTTCTGTCGATGTAGGCCCTATGTAACTTAGATTACTAAATATTTTTATCAAAACATCACATGTGTGCATGTGTTACTTTATAAACTAATCATGAGATTTATTTTTTCTACTTCAAAATTTCACTCTCATAAATGGGATTTATTTATTTTTTTATTCAAACCATTAAGCCTCATCCTCATTAATTTGAATCACTCTACTCTGCTATATCAGACATAGCATTTGAATATGGAACAATATTCATACATTAAAAAAAATTACATTTATTCTAGATTTCATCATAAATATATTGTATTTGCATTGCACATTATTGTTACCATTTTATTTTATAGGCCTATAATTATACTGTAGGCCTAACTTGTTCTTAGGCTGTCAACTGAAATAAAATTAGAAGAATGTTTTTGTATAGGCCTAGATTGTCTCCGGCTACCCCTTGATCCAGGAGGTGTCCCCTTTCTTTATAGGGGTCCATTATGTATGCCTAACAATAATTGTATTGTAAACATTTTCGTAGGTGGCGCTATTCCTGGTCGTATAGCTCTGGATGGGGAAACAGATGTTATGATGGGGAACCCCCTCTCTCTTGACTAATCATGAGACCAAGCGCGAAGAAAGTAACCAAATTATTGTTATTGTTGTGACTCGTGGACTTTGGGTGCTCTATATTATTAATTTAACGGCTAAGTAGCAATTAGCGATTACCATAATATGTCACAGGTAAACAGTGAGGCCAGTGCCTCTGAAGAGACGGACTCGTTCAGCGGGTACCCATTACCTTGTTGGTTCGATGAGCGAAGCAGTCCTTCTCCGCGAAAACTTAAATTGAAAATGGCCTCCACGGCTGCAGTGCCAGTGGTTCAACCGAAACTTCAAAATAGCCTAGTGGAAATGTGTGTCCTTGTCGGTGTCGACCAGGACACAGGCTTAAAAATTAAACATTTTCCACAGGTAGGCGGACAATTTTCATAAATATGTTACTTGTGTGTACAGTCAGTAGAACATTACAATTGTTGCTTTTCCACTTAATTATTTTTTGTTGAATAAGAATAATAACTTAAAAATGGCCGTGATGCCTCTCGATCCGCAATTCAGTGAGGTGCTGTAATCAATAATAATATGAAGATCAGAAAAGTAGTTTGCAATAGTCGTTGGTATGTATTGACGTTATTCAATATTTTGACCATAAAAAGTGAAACTTGCATTTGACAGTTTCGGTCAATAATATTCTTAGCCCAATATTTATCAAGAAAGACTCCATGACTAAAATAATTCGATTAAGTTATCAAATGGCAGTTATTTAAATTTTATCAACGTTTATGAAGTCTACTGATTATGATGTTATGGTTGTTCATAAAACTTGCGTTTAACAAAAGGAATTGAGGCCAAAATTTTCTTTCTCTCTTTAATTGTCTTTTTTTTTTTGCTGTTTTCCCTTGTCTCATTATGTCATTAATTGTATATTGACTGTAATAGTATTTTGTTAAGTGATGTCAATAAAAAGAATCTGAATCCTAGGGTCTAGATGAAAAGTATTACAATTTTGGTTATTTACAGTCCTGTGAGCTTAAGTTCAATCAACAATTTCAAGAGATACTTTGATAAATGTTAGCAGAAAAAAAGGATGTGGGGTTATTAAAGCCTTTCACTGACTACTGTATTCTAAAAGAAAAACCCATAAATAGCTCTTAGCTGTCCAAAAATGGCACTCATCTCGTTGATTAATATTAATAAAATGTACTACTACCTTCTAGGATTCAGATATGGATCCATTTGAATCTATGGATGAGGTAGGACCTGTCGATACACAAGTTCTTGCAGTCATTACAGGCCAGAGTGCATATTACCCACAATCGAAGGACAATCAGGTAGACCCAAATTATCCTCATATACCGACAACCCCACAGCGCTCACCTCACAAAAATCTAATACGGTCAAGCTCCCGAAGACTAATAAGAATGATGTCCAGCAAGGGTCCAATAGTTCCACAACCCATCAACCATGAAATGGTGAACTCTCTTCCTCCTCTCTGCTTTCCAGGTGAGCATACAGTTTTTCCAGTTTCCAACTTGTGCTTTAAGTCCTCTTAGGCGAGACTTTTTTTTATACCTTGTTCAGCGAACCTGCCTATGTATGGTATGGATGATTTCGTATAAAATAAAATTTTATATTTGGCCAATTAGCACACCTGTCACCACGAAAAAGTGGAAATAAAAAAAAATAAAAGTTTTTCTTTATTTTTATTACGCCCTCTGCTGCCTTGAAATCTCCAAAGATAAGATATGTATATTTCTTCCTAATTATATAAATTTTAAGTATTTAAACATGCTATTTTACATTCACCAATAAAATCTTATTTCCATTTCCTCCTTCGTCTGAATGGTTTTATTTTTATTCCATCCTCCTCCGATAATCTTTAAAAAAAATCAGTACGCGAAACAAGGAATAAAACAGGTCTCGCCTTATCTGCATATTATATTATTATAAAAAAATACAGCATATGGTTTGAGGTGAAGTAGTGCTTTCTACTTCCCGATGGGTTGGATGATTGGCTCTGCCTCCCGACGTGAAGTGTAGAAACGTAGTCCTAATCATCTAACAATGAACGAAGTACTGTAGAGTTCACCAATACCAAAATAAAACCATGTACTTTTTATACAGTAGGCCTACCGTGCCTCAAAAAATATTATTAAAAATCAAGGTTTTTATAAAACCAAGTTGTGTTTACTTGTATGTAAACAATTTTGATACTGTCTTGGTTAGCATCAACAGTAATAATATAGGGTTTTTTTTTTTAAGCCAAATTTTGTTTACTTGGTAAAAATTTTAAGCATGACGAGTAAAAATATATGCCAGCAATTTAGCAATTGTTCTCTTGACATAAAATGTTACATTTTTTTCATTCCTTTTGTACTACCTGTAATTTAAATTGCATTACTTTATACCCCAATTACAAAAGTAAAACTATACATGATTTGTGTCACAACAACTCACTTAAGATGTTGTTACACAGACCCAATCACTGTAGTGCCAGTGGTATGTTTGTTCTTTTAGGACTTCTTTTATATTATGATATTCACAGTTTTTGGAGTCGGTTAGCTAAATCTGGTATTCTTCTTTTATTTAAGAAATGGAATAAGCTATTGTACTAGTTATGATAATTATAGACTTTTTATATTTATGACTTATTTATTTATTTTATGTTCTTACTATGGACTGATATGTCTGAAATAAAAGTATTACAATGATGGTGTGTGATTTTGCCAGGGGAAACGATGGCGTTTAAGGAACTTATGTTAGGAAGTGTGGAAAGTCAATGTTCTAATTGTTTTGTTTTCATGCAGATGAAGCCTATGTGATATCACAATCGAAGCATCGCCTTGAAGAAACAATACATACCCTGGTTCTCACTAGTATGACAGGTGTTCGGTCCTATGCCACGTGCTTAACGTTTCACGTACCTTACAGAATACAAAAGGTAAACTCTTATCCTTTAACGTACCATAACACTCTGCCCACCAAACACGGAGATCTCCGTGTTTCAGGTATTTTTACAGAATCCGATAGATGGGGTAATTACCGACATGTACTAACAATTTGAACACTATATTCAGTCTGGACCATAAGTATTTCACTATTTGTTTGTTTACATTAGCGTAGAGCGGTATTGATTTATACTTTCACAAAATTGCATAAATCTCCAAAAGCGAGTCATTTTCATTTTACTGTTACGGGTCACAGATTGCGATTAGAATAAAGTGTTTGGTATCATTGTAAAGCTAAAATGTTCGTAGTTCTTGTACTATTCACTACGTGTCAATCTGATGACACACGCACTCTTAACAAGATTCAGAAAAGTGTTAAAATTTGCTAAAAAGTCTACTGGTGGCTGGTACTAATTTTTCAAACCCTTGGCGGTCAGAGTGTTAAGCATGGATGTTATCATGCTTAGTTACGGGCCAGTTCTATTTTTAGCATGAACTCAGTTGGGGTTTTGTTTTTTTGTGGGGGAGGGGTTCCCTAAATTGGCTAAACCTTTATTACACAATTTTTTTTGCGAAATTGCTTCAATAATGATAATTTCGAATAAAAGTAAAATTTAGAAATTGTTCATTATTTTTATGCTGCTGGCTACCGCCATGAAAATGCGGCTTACTTTAGGCGAGACATTTTATATCTTGTTTCGTGAACTTATTTTTTTTAAAGATCATTGGAGGAGGGCGGAATAAAAATTTAAATAAAATTTAGTTTTTTTTATTTAGCAAATAGTTATTCCAAAAACATCCAGATGGAGGAGAAAATAAAAATAAAATTTAATTGGTAAATGTAAAATAGGATGGTTAAATGCTTCAAATTTATATAATTAGGAAGAAATATTCATATCTTATCTTTGGATATTTTAAGGCAGTGGAGGGCGTAATAAAAATAATGAAAAACTTTTATTTTTCTCTGAAATTTCCACTTTTTCGTGGTGGCGGGTGCGTTAAATGGCCAAAAATAAAATTTTATTTTTATTTGAAGTCTCGGCTTAGTCACTAATTATGTATTGTAATTAGACTAGAACACTCACCATATTATTCGGTGGCAGATGCAGAAATTCAAAAGAGAGGGGGCCCAGGAGGGGAATTACAGATGATGGGTCCATACCAAAAACTTATGGCTATAGTGGCACCTCTAGATGGCAGGAACTGCAACTCTCAGACTTAATTTTTAATATAATTTTCTTTTCCTCTAAAAAATTCAAAATTTAGGCCTTTGAATTTGCCTATATTATTTAAAATTATGATCATCTTTGTTGATTTCCATATTTTCATTATCTTGAATTTTTTGAAATTCTGAATGTTTTGTACAATTTTTTTCTTGAAATGAGAATTTTTTTCTTGATTATATATATTCTCCATTTCCACAAATCTCTTTTAATTATGCAATTTCAATGTGTTTTTTCTGTCATTATCTTTTGCTGCAATATTTATCTGTTAATGTTTTATTTTTCGTTTGTTATCTTTATGGTGTAACTTGCACAAAACACATTTCCATGTATGTTTTTATACAAATGGACGAATAAAATAATTTGAATTTAATAATTTTTTTTTTTAAGAGTAAACATTCTAGGGAATCAGGCTGCTATGATCTGGATCAGTGCATTGAAACAAATACCAGAGAGATTGCTATACGCTACCTGCCAAAGTGCATTTGCCTTATCTCACAAGCACCATATTTTGGAGTCATGAAAAAAGTTTTATCGAGGTACAATGAACTATGATAAGATAACATTGAATTAAATTTGATCTACATAAAGTTTTTGATTCTGAGCTGGCTTTTTAACTCTAAAACAATATACAAATATTTGATGGCAATGCTAATTACATATTAACACTGCATTAGTGGAGAATGACTTACGATAATGAAAATAACAGGCAGCACCTAACTACTCAAGCTTTTCACCATGTAAATTTATTTTGCCACAAACCATCTACTATCTTAAAAGATGTATCGTCCCCTAAAAATAAAAAAATAAAATAAAAAAGTCAAAATGATGTATATGATTTTTTTTTTTTTTTTTTTTTTTTTCTTTTTGTATTTTGCATGGGACTTTAAGATAGGATGGAAAGCACACCCGGAAGCACATTGCAGATTACCAAGCTTACCACAAGCTGTTGTCCTCAGAGTACAGTGCTTTTTTATGCAGCAGAACAAAAGCTAAAGAGTCATTAAAACTTTTTATTCATTAAACTGCTAACACTATTTAAAAGAGAAGACAATAATTTAAAAAAGCTTGAGACTCAAGGGAACAAAAAGTGTTCCCATCTGAAGCCCCTTCTAAATCACCAAGAGTGTTTCTACTGGGAAAAAAAAAGAATGGTTCTTTTAAATTTTCTGTGACAGTAGATGTAGAAATGGGGCCACCATAAAATAGAATCAGTCTTATACTGTAATAAAGTACCCTCAGACTTGTCCAATTCCAGACCAGATAAAATAAACACAAAGCCAATCCTCTAAGAAGAGAACAAATCCCAAGACCACCTCAAATTTGCAGGTCACAAATTGGAGGGTAAACTGTATGTAGAAGAGCCTAATTTGGTGTCCAGCAGATGAAGAATGATTACTGTACAGTCAAATCAAGGAGGCATAAAGGTGTAATCCTCATCTTTGTATTCTGATTGCTAACCAATGAGAAGAGATAAAAATGATTTGATAAACCCAATCAATTCTGAATATATTGTGAAAATTATTATTTATTGTGGCCACTCAATTCATGAAGCATCAAAGTAACTTAAAGCAATACTTTGTAATTTACATTTTAGCCAGGCCTGTGTACCCGAGGCCAAAAAGAATCAGAGGACAGGAAAAATGAAATTAGTCCTATTGTGACAATTGTACCAGAGTATGGGGTTTGCCTTCAATTAACTTCGTCAGTGGGGCCATTTTGATTAACAGTGCCATTTTTCCGGACCATTTTTTTATGGCCATCTTGTTTTGGGACCATTTTTTTCTGGGTCATTTTTGACTAGCACATTCATGGTACAATTTATTTTTGATTGATGCACATACCTATCACTATGAAATTAATTAAAAATCCTTACGTGTATTGCCCCCTGAAAATGGCAAAAATTCATTAAAAAAATAATTTTGAAATTAACTTGCCCATTTAGCTGTAACATACAAATTACTTGAGCATAGAAACTTGTGGATTAAAAACAATTGTATACCCTTATTTTTATACTGGGTAATGATAAGGATAATGTAAGTTAAACACTTCCAGTGACTGGAAGTGTAAAATGGAGGAAGAAAATGAAATTAGGCCTACAACTGGGACAATGGTACTATGGCTGATTGTTAGTATTTTTAGGATAATGGGGTTTGCCTTCAATTAACCCCTTTCTTTGTTTCCATGATAACCATTGCGGGTGTTAATGAAACACTTCAAGTTCATGTCTATTGTTTTACAAGTCTTTCTTAGCTGTGTTTTTATACCTTCATGACTGAGAACTGGGTAATTGTCTTGTAAGAATAATATGCCCTCCTTAAGTTTTGGAGCAATTATATAAAAAGAATACTGCATTAATTATTGGTTTTAATGAACAAAGCTGTTTCTACAACACCAAAATTTCAATTAAGACCCAAGCCATATGTATTGTGAGAAGGCCACTATGTGAGAAAGCCACTTAGCTTTTGGAGCAATTATATAAAAAGAATACTGCATTAAGTATTGGTTTAAAACGAACAAAGCTGTTTCTACACACCAAAATTTTAATTAAAACCCAAGCCATATGTATTGTAGTGAGAAAGCCACTATGTACTAGTACTGGTAATATAATGTGGTGTGTTGGGAAGCATAGCATGGTTATAAAGCAAGGAGGTTAAGCCTCAAGTTTCCCCTCTGTCATCTTATTTTAGCTTTTCATGGTTCCTTGTTCCTAAATAGACTACTTGCATTTCCCCTTTTGATAGCAGCATTGATTGCCATTCAACAGGAAGATAACCATTATAATGAAATAAGCTAATAGGAGTTTATACTGATAAATTAATGAAATAAGTTGTTTATACTGATAAATTAAGGAAATAAGTTGTTTATACTGATAAATTAAGGAAATAAGTTGTTTATACTGATAAATTAAGGAAATATATTTGTACAGTACCAGCAAGATCAAAACAGATATCTGTTTAAATCATGGAGAAATAAGTCATCCAAAGTTGAAGAATATCTATATCAGACTTGTCAGCAGGGGATGTAAGAAAAATGGCCCCAGTAAAAATTGCCCCGGTAAAAATGGCCCTGGTAATAATTGCCCCGGTCAAAATGGCCCCAAGTGACAAGTTGGTAAAAATTTTTTATTATTATTATTATTCTCTTTTTCTTAAAAAAAAAATAATTTGATGTTCATATCAACCCATTTTGCGGGGTTTAGCAATACCCGGATTGAATTTCTGGAAAATTGTGATTCCGTTTCCGTGAAATTGGCCACTAATAAATTATTTTAGTATTAATAAATGCATGATTTATGTTGATTTATTGATTAAATTGTTGCTATTTTTTAACATTTAAATTTAAAAAAAAAATAAAACGTGTTATACATGGCTTATTTTTATCTTTGAATATGTAATTCCTGCAAAAAGTAAAATATAAATGGCTATTTATTTGATCTTTTTAAAAACTAAATTATTTCAGTTTAAAAAATTGCATATAATGAAATTTATAAAATCAGTTTTAATTCAGAATTTTATTATTGGGGGCCATTTTTACCTACCTGTCATTTGGGGACATTTTAACCGGGGCCATTTTTCCCAGGGCCATTTCTATCTGGGCCATTTTTTTCACCGGGGAAATTTTTACCATACACCGACAGCAGGGGGGGGGGTGGGGGAACTGGGTGGGTGATATCAGTGTATCATGATTTATATATCCTGCTTAACAAACATAAATATTATAGGCGTAATATACAATAGGTAATGGTAGGAGCATTTTGGTTAGGCTAAATGGTAAAATAGAAACCTGTAATGCTAAAATTTATACTTTATTTATTAAGGCTTGAAAATGGCTTTTTCAAATCATACAGTAGCTATTCCTAGGATAAAATAAATATAAAAAAAAAAAACCAACCCTAGATATTTCTTTAGATTTTTGGTAGGTTTGGCTTGGAAACTATTTTTTTGGGCATATTAAAATATTTGGAAACAGATTGGAGATATGTATTGATTTTTAACCCAACATATTATATATTATTTGATTGAAGTATAATAAATTGGTGGAGATAAGCTAAGGTAAATGGCATTAGGAAACTTGAAAATGCACAGGCCTGTAACAGGGAATGCAGCATTTGTCTCGGACCAAGTTTACCTCAGAAGTGTTTCTTTAGGATATGTTTCTTTAATAAACAAAGTAATGAACCACCTCCCTGGTTACGGTCCTAATGTATGACTGGCTTTTGTGAGATCTGATTTAAAAAACTTTTTCATTTCATTTCATTTATTTGTCTCAAACAATAAAATTTATAAAAACAGAAACAGCAAAGAAGAAGCACAAAGGAACACTCCAAAAGTATACTTACAGTAATCACTGTCAAGTGGAGGCCCTTTGACAAAAAACAAATGCTTACAATATGACATTTTTCAAGTAGATAAAACATCTGAAGTTTAATAATTTAATGAAAAAAAAAAAAACCTGTTATAAAAATAAAATAAAATATTCTGACGATGCAATAAAATTATCTTAAATACAATATTAAAATGTCAACAAATTTGAAGCAACCAAGTAAAAAACTCAACACATCTAATTTGTTGCATTCAATGATACCAATGGCCAGCTGAAGTAAATGCACACATACTAAATTTGCTGGAGATTCAGGGGCGTACGGTGAAAAATCTAAGGGGGGTCGAAACGAAAGCGCAGGGGGCAAGCTGAACTCGGAGCAATTTAGCGAAGCTTTCAGAATTTGCGGGGTGCGTTATTTGTGAGTGAAGCGAGCATATTTAAAGGGCACTTTCTTTAAAAGGGGGGGGGGGGTCGACCGCACCCATCGAACCCCCCACGGTACGCCCCTGAGATTAGTTAGTTTGCAGATATACACTGGCTTGCAAGAATGGCAGGTACGTGCCACAGGTCCCTTATTGAGCTCTTATTCACACAATAAACTTTATTCAGTAACTGATGAATTATTAAAGAGGAAATATAGTTTTTATATGAAAATATTTTTTTAAAATCTGTTTTTAAAAATACTTTTGGCAATAGGAAAAAAAAAATTGATTAAAAAAGTAGCCCCTAGTGAGATTTGAACTCACGACCCCTGGTTTACAAGACCAGTGCTCTAACCACTGAGCTATAGAGGCAGTAGTTGTAAATTGGGGTTAAAAGTGTAGTTTTGGTATACTGCCATAAAGTACTGAAACAACATCTGTTTCACTTAATTGTTGTGGTGTCACGGATATTGATTTTTCAGTATATTGACAAAGCTGTATGCAGTATTTCTAAAGAGGGCATTCTAACTTGGCACAAACAAGCACTTTGAGTCCACACCCACTTCAGTTCCTCCATGGTTAAAGAAAATTTTAAAGATAAAACACCTAGGATATCCAGAAATGACACAAAAAAGGCAAAATTTCAAATATAATGCAAGTGATACCACAAAGAAAATAAATTGTCTTTACTAATAATAAAGGGCATTTAATTAGTCATAGTTAATATATTTCGATAGGCCTATTTTTATTTATAAAAATAAAATAGACAACAATATTAAATCCGAATCAGCCAGTTTTCCGAATTGGAGATTCAATTTACAATATGTCGTACGTAAAAAGATTAGTAAAATTCAATAACAAAAAATGCAAATACTATAAATATTAAAAAGATTATCATTATTATTTACTACATTGCTATTATTATTTATACAAATTAACAATATTAATTATATATGATATATTATGTACTGAAATTTCCAATTTTATTAAAAATATTCAGTTTATCAAAAGTGTTTTTGAATTATGTTCTTTTAAATTAATCTTTTTGCAATAGAATAATCTAAATATATTCAAATATTATTCATTTATAGGAAATTGTATAACAGGGGTCCCAATACTCTTGCAAGTCGCAGGAACCTCCAAGAACTTGAAAGGTTTTGCAAACAAGATTATATAATACTGTACCATACAGACATCTAACAGTACATCTGACCCTAAAATTAATTTTAAAACAGTTGTCAATGACATATATACTGTTTTTGGTTTATTTTAAGAGAGAAATATAGTGTGCTTTTACAACATTTTCTAATAATCTATATAAAAATCAATCTTTTTTTTTCATTTAAATGTAATAATATTTTCCCATATATTTTTTAATTCACTGTCTCTAGATATGACATGATATTTTGTCTCTATTTTCAGCCTTTTACCTGATCTTCAGCAACCAGAACATGTTTTATTGAAATCTTTAAAACAGATGCTGTATTGTGTTGCTATGGTTCCCATTCCTCCACACGGTAACTTGTCTGTGGTAAGTACTGTATTACATATTTCAGTGTGAAACCCAACCTTAATTTTATTATTTTAACAAGCTGACCCTATGCAGGGATGTAGGGTGTGAAAAATCAGAATTTGGAACGAATTCCCAGAATGTGGAACTAAATTCCTATTCCAATGAAAACTAAATGGCATTTTTAGTAGTTTAAGCTTAGTTAATTTACTAATTTGCTGATTCGAATCATAAATTTAGATTTAATACTAGTTCTGTTGTATTAGAAACAATTCAGAAACAAGTAAATCAGTATTAAATGTGCTGATTTCTACAGTTAAATGGAGTCCATATACCCATAAATCAATAATATGTAGCAACCTAGTGCAATGAAGTCCAGGACTAACGAGAACAAAATCAATACAGTTGATTATTAGGTCTGCAACAGATGTACTTGATATTATTGCTAAATTTTTTAGGGAGTTCATATAGAGCCTCTATAGCTCAGTGGTTAGAGCACTGGTCTTGTAAACCAGGGGTCGTGAGTTCAAATCTCACTAGGGGCTGTTTTTTTTTTTTGTTTTTCTTTTATAAATAATTTCAATACCTTTTTATCACAATGAGTATAGGCTGATACATTTTTGATTTTTTAATATTTTTTAAAAATTCACGAAACTTGGAAAAATAAAATTATTAAATGTATGATTCTTATTTACTAATTCAGGAATTTTCTCTGAATGATATGTCGATAGTAGTGGCACCCCCTGATGATCCAGGTAAGCCTGTGGTAGACATCGCATTGCATATTCCTTTTCTGAGCTTCAATGTAAAGGATACCCTCCAGATTGTAACATTCATCCTTATGCAGCAGCCAATTGTCTTTCTGGCTTCCAACTATGCTTTATTAACGCATGTTATGGAGGTATGTATTAATGAGGTAATAATAGTAATGTAAGAATTTGTAATAAAAGATTATTATATTATACTCTTTGTCCCTAATCAGCTTCCCAGATTTGTACAGATTACCCTTACAAAATATGGTTAAATTAAAACTAAATTAAAGTACATGTTTTGCACTCCTGGTCAGTGGTTTCACCACCGGTGGGAGGTCAGAGTGGGCATATTTCCCTTCCAAATACTTGTTTGATTGCTGATCCATAATATTGTGGTCTAAAAGAACAATTTTGCCCATACTAAAGCATGAAAACAGTCCCTGTTAAACCTACTAGGTATATTTATTTTGGGACCCTAACTATGGCTCTAGTCAACCCCTTAGTTCAGACCCCTGTCGGCAAATACTGTATCTGTAACCATCACTGCTCTGGTTAGAGAAAAACAACATAATAAACTTAACAAAAGTGACACTGGCAAACACTTTTTATTAATAAGAGATGTTTTAAATTGTGTTTTGCTATATAATATTACCAATGTTTGTTGATCATTTGATATCTTTATTTCATAATATTTTACTCCTTTTTAAAATTATTGGTGGGATGAATAAAGAATTGATTTGATTTTTATTTAAAAACCAAACCTCAACCTCAATGCTGGCTTAGCTCCGTTGGCTAATCTGCTGGTAGCCACTGTTTGTGTGCTGAACTGTGGAGATCTCTAGGTTCCCGGTTCAATTTCCATCGCTGCTCTTAGCCTTGTGTTTCAGCTGGAGGGCTGAAATACAAGTTACAATAGCGCACCGTTTTTTTGATGCAACGTTAAAGCTGTTGGTTCCATGTGCAATATGGTGCATGTGCACATTAAAGAATGCAGAACACTCTTCAGAAAAGAGTAGGGGATTGTCTTCTGGTGTGCTGCCCAATTCAGCACCAGAAGGATCCCGAAACAGTCTTCAGACTTCCTGGATTATCCTTGGTGTAATTCACACCGAAATGTTAAGGCTAAGAACATTGAACCATATCCGTTACTCCCAACTACTCCCACAATTTGATAACTGTTTAATGTTCTATTCCGTTCCTCTTGTAGTGTTTCATGGTGTTCATCTTGCCATGTAAGTGGCTGTTCACATACGCACCAATTGTATCTAGTATGCTGCTGGATCTTCTTGAAGCCCCTGGATGCTTTCACAATATTTGATAATTGACACTGTGTAACATTGTATTTTTTTTCTCCTGCAGTGCTTCATGGTTTTCATCTTGCCACTTAAGTGGCTATTCACATACCTACCAATTGTATCTAGTATGCTGTTAGATCTTTTGAAAGTTCCCTGGATACTTCCACGATTTGATAACTGTGTAATATTAATAATATTCTGCTTTGTTTCTCTTGCAGTGTTTCATGGTGTTCATCTTGCCATTTAAGTGGCCGTTCACATACGTACCAATTGTATCTAGTATGCTGCTAGATCTTCTTGAAGCCCCTGGATGCTTCCTAATGGGATGCCATTCAGAACATTCGCAGTCTGTGAAGCAGGTAACAAGTTAGAGAAAAGAACTGTATAAATACACTAATGTATTAATATTATTATTATTATTATTACTATTATTATTATTATTATTGTTATTGTTGTCTGCTGTTGTTGTTATTGTGTGGCTCAAACTCTTATCTAAAAGGATGTTTTTCCTGAACTCATGAAAATACATTTGAAGCCTACAGTTTCTTCAGAATGACCAAATCATTTTCCAACCTCATAAATTCGACAAAATGTGATTGAAGAAAGTGTTTTTGATATTGTTGAGATTATTATTAATATTATTGTGCTACCATCATGCTGATTAAAATTGCTGATAGTATCAGTTTCCCAAAGGGAGGATGTCAAGTGTGTCCATTTTTATCTTCATGTGGTTTTGTATTGTTGTATTACTGTATAAAATTGACTGGATTGATATCACATCATGTTATTTATAATTTATTCTACATTATATAATATAATTTTTAAATTTCCTTTTTTTTCTCTATTTAAATAGATTGAAGGCATCGTAGTTGCTGACATTGATCGTGGAAGTCTCCATATTAGTGACACTATTGATGTCCCACAATTACCAGAATATCCTGTTTCAGTTTTCATGGAAAAGTAAGTTTTCGACCTAAAACATGTGGAAATTAGTTATTTCATGGCTGGCAATTCAGATTTGTTTCCAGCAGTGTCAGCATTAATTATGCCATGAGGCTCTTGATGGTTAATGGTGCAAAATATTATTTTTTTTTTTTTTAGCTTATGTAATTACGTACATTCCTTCGTTTCTAGACCTCGTGGTCTAGGATAATTATTTGTATTTTAGGCCTCTCGTCCCTTTACATAACAAAGTAACATTTAGAGAACGGAAGAAAGTAAATCAATTCTTCTTAAATATGCTAAATACAGATATTTTGATAAATTATATAAAACATTACAATCATTTGATGACATTATTGATGGAACTTAAAAATGGTTGGGTTTATGTAGAAGAAAGATGGAATTAAATTTTGTCCTAATATCGTTATAACGTACATATACTGAAGTAAAATTAAATTCATCTTCTATGCATTGATCTGCGCATAATTTACATATTCTATTATTTTTGCTCAGTTTATTCCATCTGCCTTTCTGTATTTTAAAATCTAGAATACCAATTTGAATTTTTGTTAAAATACGTCAATAATTAAATCCGTTTGTAAATAATTATTTAATTTAATCTCATTTAAAAAAATTTTAAATGATTTAATCTTGAATATGTTTTGACTTTTTCGTTGAAAAGTCTTTCTATATCAATAAGTCTCAATTTTAGCTTAGAAATAATAGAAGGATACTCAACTATTTATGTACAGTAACATGTCTGAAAGAATTCTTAATTCAGATTCAAATTTTCTTATTACTTGATTGAGTGATATTAATGTTAAAGGTCTAAATACAAGAAAAAAAAAAAGATAAACCCCAAAACAGCTATTTATAAAAAAAACAACAAAACATGTATGTACTGTATGTATATATACTCATATACTCTATTATATACTCATATATACTCTTTATATATTATGTATGGCTATGAACTTATATATCTTTTGCACAGTTTTAGTAGCGTACGCCGGTATATGGTGGATTTGATGATGGTTGGCCGTCCAGATCCAACTACTCTGGAATCTTCTAACAGCTTCACTGACAAGATGAATCGGAAGTTCCAACTTGAAATTCAAAACCACTTCTTAGAATTTATGGCCAATCTCTTCAGGTAAAAATTAAAATATTTGTTGTATTAGCTGTTAATCAAAGACAATCATTTGCCATAAAAAATAATTTATAATCATCTGAATACAAGCACTACCACAATGTTTCTAGTACAGTAAATTAATTATCAATAATAATCATCCTTATCTTTAAACAATTAAAATCTAAAACTGACTCTTCTAAATATTCAATACCAACTAGATTTGTGAAATTGTTAAATACCCTCCATCCAGATATAAGGAATTATTATATTATATCTATTAATTTTGATTTGTTCAAATCTATCCCCTTTTCTGTTCTAATTATGTAAAAAAATAATAGTAAATTTAATGGAAATAAATGGCAAAGTTACTTTAGACGTTAAAAACCAATCTAGGCAGTATTCTTTCATTGATATGCTCCATCCCTTCTTTGTGCCTTGCAAAAAGTTCAGTGGTTGTTATAATTCTAAATCTATTGTCTTTGTTTTAAAGAGATGTACAAGATTTCATTAGTCCTGAGCTTCAGTTTGTTAAGAAAGATAGCTTTTTGGAGTCAAGACTAGAAGAAGAAAGGGACTTTTACAAAAAGGTGAATATTATTAATTTACAGTATATTGTAACAACATTCTTCCCTCTGATGAAAGGGATAAGTATTTTAGAATAGTGCAGAAAGTGCTCTAATTTGCCAGTACTTTTAATTGCACATCAAATAGTTGGCTGATTGGAATCAGGGCTTGTGAATCATGCACCAGCTTGCTTCTTGACAGGTATTCACAAACCTGCTGCTAAACCAGCTATGAGTCAGTGCTAGATTTTTTGGCTAGAAGAATCACAACACATGTAAGATTATCAGGTGTGGCCTTTCTGGCCTCTCATTCTGGTTTCCTTAAAATTGCTACACACTATGGCTTCCCAATAGACCTTTTCCAGAATGTCAATCAAACTTAAAATCTGACCAATCAGAACAGGACTAGGAGTATGCACATGTCCCACAAGCACACATATTTGCGTATGTTTTTACACTGTTGTTATGTGGGACTTTAAAAACAATATCTAAGGAGTTGGGCTTAGCGGAAAGGTCCATTGCGTTGGGGACAGCTATGCTGTGTGATATGTGTAGTTTTTAAAAACAGGCTTAGCAAACACATACATGTTCAATTGTGGCTCATTGTGTATTGTTGTGGGACACAGGTCCATTATATGCTGTTCAAAATTTAAGTGTTGAGGACGTCTTATTTTCATGCATTTAATTATTCAATCAATTATATTGTACCACTTTATTTTTAATTCCTGATAACCAAATACAGAGTAGTTGAAATATTGAAAAATGACTTGTATCTCCCAACTTCAATTTTGTCATTCTGTTTAAATCATGTTTTATACACATTTCATTGTATTGAATATTGACCCATGATATATGGATAGGGCACTCATATTTCTGCCACACGTTTCTTGATATATGGTGTAGGTTATCTACAAGCAATTGTTCAAAACTTTTCTTGATGATCGTCTGAACAAGAAGCAGGACTATTACACCAGATTTGAAAGAAACACCAGATATGACAGAAAAAACAGACCACCAAGCTTGCCTAACATTAGTATATTTTCCGACTTCCCCAGGTATGACCAATCTTCCCCTTTATATATTCTTTTTAATGATTGAATAATTATGCATACAATATATATTTTTTTAAATAAAAAATATAAATTTACTTTTTAATATATTCTTGACAGAATTTCATTTAGCTTCAGAAATTGTATAGATGGCAAATTCTCGTTTTTGTAAATCTAAAATGGAAACGGAGTACTTACTCAGAACGTTTCAATCCCTATCAGAGATCTTTATCAACTGACAGCTAGGTGTTATTTAGCTTGGTCTTGACGTCATCTGTTGATGACGTTGTACACTTCCTCCGGATGTAGGTCGAAGGTTGTTGATTATAGAATTCATAACAAGCCGGGCCTCGCACAACCTTTGACCTACATCCAGAGGAGGTGTACGACATCATCAACAGACATATTTTTATAATAATCATTGATAGTGACAATAATAATATCAGTGCATGATCATCACAAAAGACAGTAACTCAGGGGTTCCAAGTCTCCATAAGTCGCAGGATTTCACAGAAGTCAACTTGGTCTCGCACACTTCCACAAGCAAGCAAAAAATCTTCTGGAAAGTAACCCATACTTCCTCAAATTCATGATGTTTGGATGGTTTTGCTAACTGTGTTATCGGCTCTTTGAATTCGGCTGATCATGAGTATCACCACAAGCAACAAATTACAAAGTTAGATATTTTATTACAGCTTATGAACAGGCCTCCTGGAAGTGGCTTCTCTCAGCCTGGGATCCCTGAGCAAAATGCAGATGTGTTTAGAAAAGCTTATTAAACTAGACTTTCAGTAAAGAACATCTCAACTTGGTACTCCTGAGCAAATTGCAATTTTATGCGTTAAGATAAATTCATTAAACTGGACTTCTCAGAAGGAGCGAACTCAACTTGGTACTCCTGAGCAAAATGCAATTATATGCATTAAGAAAAGCTCATTTAACTAGACTTCGCAGAATGAGCTTCTCTCAACTTGGTACTCCTGTGCAAAATGCAGTTTTATGCGTTAAGAAAAGCTCATTTAACTAGACTTCGCAGAAGGAGCTTCTCTCAACTTGAAACCCCTGATAAATATAATGCTATTTATTGTAATATTTTGTTTTTTGGGTTTTTATTTATTTGCATATTGGTGATACAGTAGGTGCATTTGTGGTTTGTTTTTATAAATAACCCTAAATAGAAGATTGAAGCAACACAGTGGAAACATCAAGATATTCTCAACCAACAACCATTCTTTTCAGAACTATCTACGTGGTGTACTGCAAGCATTAGTGTATATTAACAATAAATACGTAAATATTCAAATAGTTTCATCTGGTTTGCTTGTGATTACCGTAGAACTGTGTAATCAGTAATGAACCAGGAGCAATATGATGTAAACTTACTGCGAGCTAGAAGAACTCATAAAAGATGTAAAAACAACAAACAAAGGGTACGGACATTGTCGGCACGTATCATGTCTACTGTATAAGAAATATAAATCAGCCAACACTTGACCACGTCCCGAACTGGGACGACACCAAAATAATCAAAACGGAATCTACATGGGACAAAGGAACAATCATGGAGGCAATCTCAATAAGGAAACAAAATTGGACGATGAACAGAGACGATGGGACATAAAGCTTTCCCACATATGTGACCAACTCCTTCAAACCTGAAAGGTGGGGCCCCCAGAACCAATCCTGACAGGCAGAGAGCTGGCACAACGAAAGCTCGCAGTAAGTTTATGTCAGATTGTGCTTGGTTTATTATTGATTAAAAAGTCTTGATAGTTTGATTGCTTACTTAATGCTATTGTGTATTCACCTTTTATTGAATTCATTGAAGTGGAGGTCGTAGGTTGAGGGTTCCAAGCATAAACAGCTCACTTCCCGTGTGTTCCATCGCTGGTAAAGATGGGTAAATTCATGCTTGTTTGAGTATCATGCACATCACATATTTGGTTTATTCACTCTGCACAATTCCACACTTAACATTCTCTAATATAATATGGTATAGTATTTATAATCATAATTAATAATAATAATAAGTTTGGCTTATATAGCACATTATGCTAAAGCCTCAATGAGCTTAATAATAAAAATGAAAATGCTAGGAGAAAAAATTTAGTAAAAGTACATGTTAAAAGGGGGAGTTTTTAAAGCTGTCTTAAAATCAACGATAGAAGTTGTACAGATTATAATAGGCAAAGCATTCCAAAGAAAGTCAAAATCCCAGGAAAAAGAACGATTGCCATAATGCTTTGTTGACGGACGAATAGAATGAGCTAGTAGAGACTCAACTAGATCTCAGAGACCGCTTAGGAATATAAGGATGAATTAGTTGTGAAATAAACATTGGCAAGGAATTATGAAGAGATTTGAAAATAAATAACACAATCTTGAAATTATATATAAAAATTAATGATGTGAAAAAATGTTTGTGAAGACAAATTTCATGTAGTACTAAGTGATTGTTGTAGTACTGATGGTGAAAGACGGAATTGATTAAAGTGTCACAAGTTCCTCCAAAATTCCAAATCAGAGACAGGAGGACCTCGGCAATAAGTTACGACACAGAATTTAACTCTGGTTAAACTTTAATAACCACAACACATCACATTAACAATAAGTCTTTAACAGTTGCATTTTGTACTCTTATTACTCCATAGCATATAATTAATGTACCATTAATAAATTAAACATCGATCTCTAATAATATAATAGTGTCATATATAAATGTATATTTTAAGAATAATAATGTTACCATTATATTATTAATCACATATTCACAACATGGTAATTAACCAACAGTGCTAATCAACTAATTAAACATCAATCACCAATAATATAACATATGTGTATCTTAGGAATGATAATGCTACTACTGTATTACCATGTTAATCCTTACCAATTCACAGCACTAATAATTAAACAGTTGTGCTCAGTATCAATAAATTACACATTGATCTCTAGTTATACATAGCATATATGTCAATGTATATCTTAGGAATAATAATGCTAATATCTTGTTAATCATGTAAGTGTCCTGTCTCTTATACACATCTAGATGTGTATAAGAGACAGCTTTAGGGTAATGCAACATGTACAGTATGTATACCACATGTTGTATTTATCTTTTATTTATAATGTTCTTTTTTGGGTTTTTTTTTTTGTGAATAACCCAAATGCAATATATTGTTTAATCATTGTTAAGAACTTTGTATTCACCTTGAATTTAATTTATTGAAGTGGAGGTCGTAGATGGAGGGCAAAAACCATAAACAGCTTGCTTCCCGTTTGTTCCATTGCTGGTAAAGATGGGTAAATTCATGCTTGTTTGAATATCAGCCATCTTGTCATCATGCACATCACAAGTTTAAGCATACTACACAATTATCAACTCCACACTTACCGGTACTCTAGTATTTTTTCCGTGTTTATAGTCTTGTACATTATTCATTGAGTATTACGCAATACCTTGAGAAAACGTTTTATACCACTTGGCCTCATAGCTCAGTTGGTAGAATATCCGAACCGTAATTGGAAGGTCTTGAGTTCGAATCCTGATGAGGACATACGTTTTTCTCAAATATTTATTATCATCAACACCAGTGGATGTGTCTCTCCATACCAAAGTTAATTTCATGTAGTTTTGTACATGTAATCATAAAAATTGACTATTGGTCATTAATTTATTGAATACCGTGTGAATATGTAAATTAGCTATTCAATATGTGATTGTATTTTGTTGATGTATACACTGTATTTTGTTAAACGTTATGTATATAATAATAATTATATAATTTGTATATATATGTTTGTATATTTTCGTATGTGTTTAATGTTGAAGCTTGTACTTCTTGTTGTTTTTGTTCATTTCTTTCGCTTTTTCGTCTGCACCCTCTGTCTTATTGTGTCTTTGCACATGCTTACAGGGTGGAAATTATTGTGTGAAGATGAAGGTTAATTTTTTTAGGAATATCTCGGAAAGACTGTGTGAAATGAAACATGCATCATGTGTAAGATTTTGTTTCGGGCATATTGGGTATATGTGATTACTGGTATTACCATAGCACTGAATTATGTGTATTGTTTTTTTGTTGATCATGTTTATCCACTTTATGTAACAGTCGCAAGTATTCATTTCATAGTTGTATATACAGATAATAATAATAATTATAAGATTTATAAAGTGCACAAATCCACTGCAGTAGTGCTCAAGACACTATACAGAGGGAAGGAACCTGTTAGGTCATCCTAACAGACAGCAACATCTGCATTGGCAAATCCTAATGTGGGAGAAAAAGAGCATATGTGATGTTTGGAAGGGGTTGCACATCCCATTGTTTAAATTTGCTGACTACATATAAATGCAGTGGGTTACCAGATATAGGAAGGGAACTCATGTCCAACTGTTCAGATTTCTCATGTCCAACTGTTCAGATTTGCTGAATGGCAAATTAAGGAGTGTGTTTCAAAATGAAATGGTTTGTTAATTTCTCTCCAGATATCGGCCTTCAAGAGCTCTGACTGCCAATGCAATGAGGCGTAAGTCCTCTGCCACGTTCGAACAGGTTAAACAATCGCATACCCCTCGTACACGCCTAACCTTACCCTCATTTGAGGGCACATTGGATGAAGGCTCACTCACAGGTACGCTAATATTTATTTTGGTCTTGTGATGTGATTTTACATTTGAGTGTGCATTGCTTACTATTTCATTAATGAGAGAGCAGCTTAGCTCAGTTGATTAAACTGGTGGTATTCACTAAATATATGCGCTGAGCCGTGGATATCTCTGGTTCTCTGCTTCCCATTACTGTTCTTCTTGTGTTTCAGCTCTGGTCTTGCTATTTTTCAACAACAACAAAATTAGCATTTTTAATTAGGTTTTCTTGACAGAGCTAATAATTATAATATTCTATGTTTTAAAACTGTAGAACAATCTATATGTTTTATATAATTTTTATATTTTAAGAAATATTTGTGAAGATTCTTATAAATAATAAAAATGTAGTTAACTCATAGAGATACAGTAATATATTTTGGTTTACTGTTGTATACCTACAATCATGTGTTTAACATTATTTAATCTACTGTATAACAAGTATCTTCTTATTTTTACAGCTGCAAACTTCTTCAAAACCTGTATTGAAGAGCTAACAGAAAAAATGGTAAGCAATCTATTTAAGCATTTTAATTTAATTATATATTCCACTCAAACTGGAGTTTTGCCACAGTGGTTAAAATGTCTGGCGTTAAGTCCCAATGTTGTGTGTTAATCTAGACAAAATAAAATCAGGATGTTCATCACAAAAGAAATCAATATATATATATAAAGATGACTTATAAATGAATATATTTTTAATACTCCACAAAAAGAGGCTTGGTTAATAATAAGATTTTTTATAGCATTCATTTATCTTTTTTACATTATTCTTTTTTTAGAATGTGCAGAACCAAGGCATAAAGGCATCTTATTTGTATCTACGTGGAATGCTTCGCATTGCAACTTCACAGTTTATAACTGGTTTGGATGACCTCTACAACCTGAATACCGCAGACCTATCTATCATGCCCATTGAGTAGGTCAATTCAGTAACAATTATTCATATTTAGCACAATAGACATATAAGGAATTTAAATTTTAATAGAGAGGCTGATTTTGAAGCAGATATGAATAAGCATAAGGGGCTAGCCCTAACATTGTGGAGCACTAGCAGAACATTTATGATAACATTCCCAAGTTCAATTTCCAAGCAATTTGGAATAGTTTACTGGCATTCCAATCAACATCATTGACATACCATACTGCAGAAATACTCCATTAGGTGAACCATGGAGGTATAAAATATACCTCCATGGGTGAATATTCCATCTAAACTGTCCACAGCATTTTGGTTTTTTCACACTATCTACTGTAAGTCCATGATCTAATCAGGGTTAGAATAAACATTAAACAGCAGGATGCTGTTAATCACTAATTCCAATGTGCGAAATCTGTAATGCATGTATCAAGGGACTTGCATAGTTTATTCTAAAGTTGTCTCAATACTGTCATTTGAAAAGGTAGGCCTAGGCCCTATAATATTTTTGATTTCTCATTTATACAGTTATGTTTGACATCATTACTCACCTCACTACAACGCACATTGCTTGCTGAAGAAAATTAAAAATAATGAATCCTATTGAGGCCTAGGCCTACGTCAGTTTTCTCAAAATTACTATCACCATGGACCTATTAATAGGTCCATGCTATCACATTCTAACTAGCCCTAGGCAGACCTATTTCTTCTAGGCTAGAGTAGGTTAGGCCTATATGTTGGTTTATTGATTATGTTGTTGCTATTTTTTAACATTTAAATGAAAAAAAATAAAAAGTGTTATTCATGGCCTTTTTTTTATCTTTGAATATTTTATTTTGAATATGTAATTCCTGCAAAAAGTAAAATATAAAAGGCAATTTATTTGGTGTTAGATTCCTTCAAATAATGAATCCTATTGAGGCCTAGGCCTACGTCAATTTTCTCAAAATTACTATCACATTCTAACTAGGCCTAGGCAGGCCTATTTCTTCTAGGCTAGAGTAGGGTAGGCCTATGTTGATTTATTGATTATGTTGTTGCTATTTTTTAACATTTAAATGGGAAAAAAATAGAAAGTGTTATTCATGGCCTTTTTTATCTTTGAATATTTTATTTTGAATATGTAACTCCTGCAAAAAGTAAAATATAAATGGCAATTTATTTGATGTTAGATTCCTTTTAAAACTTAAATTATTTCAATTAAAAAAAATGCATATAATAATTTTTTTTTAAATCAGTTTTAATACAGAATTTGTATTATTGGGGGCCATTTTTACCTACCTGTCATTTGGGGTCATTTTTACCGGGGCAATTTTTACCGGGGCCATTTTTTCCTGGGCCATTTTTAACGGGGCCATTCTTACTGTACACCTTAGGCCTAGCCTAGGCCACCAAATTGTTTTCTTTGACAATTTTCAAGTATGTTTATTAGTAACTACAGAGAAATAAGGTTTCTCAGAATTTCAAAACATAGTATTTTCAACTTGCAAAAACTCAAACTTAGCATAACAACCCAATGCAAGTTTCAAAATATGCACACAAATTCACTCTCTTTCCTATCACTCATTAAACAACAATTTGGGCTAGTGTTATTGCAGCTACTCTATGGTCGGTTTTTGAAGACCTTCACAAATTCACATTAATGCGAAGATGGCATTGGGTGTATAGTGAGGCTATTCGCACAACAAAATTGGCAGCGCAAGGGTTAAATATTTTTATTTCTACTGGTCCATTTTTCGTGATTCTAACTGCTAAAAAACATTGTGCAAATACAAATATTAATCAGTAACAATTATTGATTTTTATTTTGTAAGACAGGGCTGCTTAGTTAAACTGTTTAGGGATGCTCCCCAGAAGCCTCAATAATCCTGATAATCAAGGTTGTGCTTAAACTCGAGTGAATTCTATTTAACTCGGATTTGCTTTAGATGAGATTTTTTTCGTCATGCAAAAAAAGCCATTTTTTCTTCAATACTAAGCATCACTTTTGCTGCGTGTTCACAAATTTTTTCCACTAGTTGTCATGTGACTCCAATTGTCTATTGAAAAACTAAGGCAGGAACACGCTGCATCATACAACTGTTGGCTGACAATTGTATCTCTGCTCCCTTTGAGCAGCTGACAATTCCACACCGTCTACTGATTGTCAGTGGCAGGCTGTCGTTGACCAGATTGTCATAAAAAACGATCTGTTGTGTGCACCTTGTCGCATTGCATCCTCCATGGAATCTTATCAACTGACAAGTTTAACTTAATTTAAAATTATATATTAACACTTGATAGTAAGGTAAGAGTATACTGTATATAGGAGTGATGTTTTGCCCTACCTAACGTGTTATTATACCAAATACACAGTATGTTCCTAAATACTTGCGAACAAAATTTGCAAGTGATACAGGTAGGAATCAAAACCCACGACCTCCAGAAAACTAGCCTAATGTCACAACCACTAGACTACTGAGCTTGCGCTGTGTGACTAGTTTTGAATCTAATCTCCAAGTAGCAGCATGGTCCTGCAAATGCTATTTTGATATGTGTGTTTGCATCAGGAAAATATCATAGGATTGATATTTTGCCCTGCCTGACGTGTTATCGCACCAAATACTCAACACATTCCCAAATACTTGCGAAAAAATATATATAATATATAAAATATGCTTTAAAAAAATGAAATATATTGTGTACCTATGTCTAATTGAAAACTGTTCACTTATTTGGCTCTATTAAAATTTAACTACTTATTTCACAAATTCTTTTCTTAAAGCTTTATGGCAAACATAGTGGAGAACTTGTCACCAGAAGATGCAGCAGTTGTGAAAAAGAATCCATTTTTTCGAAGTGAAGAATTTTTGAAGAAGGTGGAACGGAGAAACTCATTGAATTATAAAAGATTGCTTTTCAAAGAGTTAGACCTGGAAAATCTACCACAGAAACTAGGTATACTTTACTTTTTGTAGTAAAAAATAAAACTTAAATAAATGAATAAAAACTACTAACTAAACTATTAATTTCTAACCAGAAACAGATTGAAAAAATTGATGAAATAATTTTTTCAAAATTTTATTTGTAAGTTAATTATCATATATTAATTTGAGTAAGGACTGTGTGACGATTAACCTTCCTGATGCATGCATAGCTCTGATAGAAATATATCGTAGCACCATTCTTTTAAATGTCTTACCATTATTGGCATATATTGAGTTCCTATTTATGTCCATTAAATATCGTAAAAAAATATTGGACGAGGACACTACACGCTACAAAAGCAACACCTTGAGAATTCAGTATGTAGTAGGTAAGTTGAATGACCACTTCAGTTAGTGCGGCTGATACAGATGTGTATATGTTAACTAAATATAATCTGTCTCTTATACACATCTAGATGTGTATAAGAGACAGGAGTAGGGTAGGCCTATGTTGATTTATTGATTATGTTGTTGCTATTTTTTAACATTTAAATGGGAAAATATATTTACATTATTTTGTCATACGTTTGTTTTCTTGTTTGTTTTGTTTCATAAATGGTTACTATATAAATGTATTAGAATATGCTGCATGATATGATGAGTAAAAGTAAAGTAAATATAGTATTATTTTCATATTTATATTTTCCATACAAAATATGTTTTCGATTTTTTTTTTAATTCATAACGCCGAATAAATCAATCACTTGTTATTCCTAGTACTTCCATAGAAACTACCGTAACTAAAAAAATCAATATATAATATTATAAGTCAATCGTGACGTCATCACTGTAACTCCCAATGTTATTTTCCTATTCCCCAGCGTCCACTAATTTTTCTATTAGTGGACGCTTGGCTTGATTTTTTTTAGGTTCGTGTGAAAAAAAAATCATTTTTTCGTCACCGCGAAGACATCGCGCACCGCGATAAAAATTGTAATTAGGAATTACTTTCGTAAAACAAGCTTAATTAGAACCTAAAGAAAGTTACTTCAAATTCAATATTAAGTATGAACAATTAAGAAATTCAATGAATCCATGGACCCTCATAAACACAACAAACTGAACGTTGAATAGGAATATTCTAGACCTATTTTAAAGACTCAAGGAACAAATTTAAATGTAGGCCTATGGCCAGGCAAGAAGCTGCCCAGTCCTCCTACTACTATTAGGCCGTAGCCCCGGCCGTAGCCTAGCCTAGTTATGAAATCATTGCACAATTTTGCCTGTCTGCATGCACCGACCAAAATGGACGTCAGTGACTGTATTCTCTCTCGAATGCTGAAATGTTTATTTCTTAGACGAAAGTCTATCAAAATAGCATTACAAACAACTGCTTTCTAACACAATTACAATAGTTATTCATCGTATCCATACTGTACTGCTGATGTGTATTTAATTAAACGCGTACTGCAGGAGCAAACATCAGCATACGCACAGCTAAATGTAAATACGCACACGTATACTGATCATATCACTATAGCAAACGATGACTGCTACAACAGTTTGTTATAAAAAACTAAAATTAAAAGATGGTGATTGACTTATAAAGCAATTAGTAGAGCATGCATCGTACACTAGAAAATTATTATACTTAGGTTAGATTTAATGCATTCAAAAATTTCCTTCAGGCCTTCCAGGCCCTCAGGAAATTTTTTCAAGCATTAAATCTAACCTTCATATAATAATTTTCCTATAGTGTACTATGCGGAGCTCTACTAATTTCTTATTATAAATTGACTATGTTAATCACTAAAATAAGTCAGTACATGATGAATAAGGAATGTCTACGTCCATCAAAACATTTTAGCATGTATTGTTTAATCAATTTTTACCATATTCTATATCAGTAGGCCTATCTTACCTGCTTTAATACTATAAACCAAATTATTGTTGTCTCATGTTCTCCTTTATTTAAAAGGTAATTTGACTTTCATTTGCAAATGCCTTTCTCAAATTATAGTTAAAGACGTAGTAGTATTCAATATTATGCTTTAGAATATTCTGTTATATATGTCAATACTTAGCACTTGGCTGTTGGGCTTCAAAGAATGATTATTTAAATGATACTCTTGGGTGGATGCATAGGGGGTGATGGCCCCCTGTCCCCCCAACCATCCTTAACATATTAGAGTGCTTTTTAGCTGGCAAAAAGTGTACAGATGTTGGGTAAATAGTCAGCAGCTTTTTTCCTTTTTTATGGGTGGTGGGGTGGGCGGGTGTCATTTACGAGAACAATTTTAAAGCTAATATTATTTGTTGGCTTTTAAGTCTCAAAAGATAGAAGGGTGACAAGGCAGAAGACGGTTCCCCAACTCCCTTCTTTCTGCACCTCCTCCTGTAAATATCTGGACCCCTTCCCCAAGTACCTCACAGCCTCCGGTGGACTTTTTGTGAGTTAAATTGAATATGCAACTTTTTCCAATGTTTTTCTTGGTAGAAAGGACATCTTAAAAATTGATAACAGCTATACTTCTCTTTTTTTCAGATTTGAATGAATTTATTAATAGAATTCAGGTAATGGAGATAGCTATTGATATCGACGTAATTGAGAAACTTTTTGAAGCTCTTACAGTTGGCACTGATGGTGAGTATCTGAGTATATTGTTACCATAAAAAGTGGTAGTACAGAAAAAATTAGTCAAAAATTAATAACACAGCCATTTTTCATTTGTCTTAAGCATACATTATAAAACTGCCTAGGGAAAGAAAAAGAACTCATGAAGTCTCCAATGGTGGCTCCAGAAATTTGGTAACAGGGGGTCCAGCAAGTTTACAATGGGTCTGACCAAGGGGGCACCTACAGCCTTTGTCAGAGTCCTGGAATAAAGTCATGTACATGGGGAGTTATTTATTGGTTTTATGATGGCCTAAAATTATGATTTTTACCACAATATGAGGGATTGGTACAAAGTATCATTGTATATGATCGACAAATTGATATTTGTAATCCAATGACCTAATTGTGGCGTCAGACCGGGCGGGCGATGAGGTAAAAACTTCCCCCTGACCCCTTTGGTTGCTGCAACTGCCTCACGAAGGTAAAGCTTTTGTTTGTAAGATTCGTTCTCATTATTTGCTGGCAGCTTTTTGCATTATGATCATCTTCGATGGATACTGCACATTATGTTATAATCTATAAAGCTATAAGCAGATATTTGTGGTGTAAAAACTTTTATTAATATTAATTACAATATTGATATTATTTGCAGAGTTGTTGTCAGAAACTTTTTCATTTTTCGTTGACTGTTGGAAAGAGAATGGTAACGAAAGAGATTCAATATATCCGTATCTGGAAGCATTTTTAAGTCCGGAGGAATTTCCCCTTAAAGTTTCGGGTTTGATAAGATCGGATGATGGATCAGGTCGATTAGTATTAACTCAGAAAAGGTAGAGCTCATTCAAATTTTTAAAACTTAAGAGCATATTCAGTAGTTTTAAAAGATACCATAAATCCTTGAATAAGTGCAGCAGCACTTATAATATTTTTTGAGGCTTCAGCACGGCACTTATTCGAGAGCGGCGCTTGTTACAAAATTTAGCATGGTGCTTTCCATGCCCATTCCCATGTTACTTATCTCATGTATTCCCGTAGTTCAAGGCCTATCGTAGTACATCATCGTAAATAAATGTTTATAAAGATACGCCTGTGTCTTCATTATGCTATTTACCCATTTGAATACTGTATACATTGTATTTAAAGCCCTGTTTCTAAAAATGTTTCATTATACACACATGGTAATATGTATTCTCAATTAAGTGCACATATTAAGGTGCATATTCAAAATAGAATAATTTTCAATAAGCACCTCGGTGATTATTCGAGAGTGGGCTTAGCAAAAAAAATCATGTTTGGCGTGGCCCTTTTTCGAGAGCGGCAATTATTCAAGGATTTACGGTACTTATAAAATAATGTCAACATCAAAAAAAGCTATTTGTAAGTATCATTACTTACATTAATGTTGATTTATTTTTATTTCTCAGGTTGTTGTTCCTTAGTGATGGCAACCAGAAATGTAATGAAGTAATTTACTTGAAGAAAATTGAACGTTTGGAGAAATTTGACAACTTTAAATCACTTATCCATGTGCCTGCTCTCCGGATACATAGCAAAACTGGTAGGTGTACCCACTTCAATCATTTCTTATCTTGCATGGCGTGATTTGATTGATTGATTGATTGATTGATTGATTGAATATAATGACTTATGGATGAACAGATTGATACCTCACGTTGTGGATAGATAGGTAAATAGATTAATATCTGAAGGAGCAGTTGGTTGCATGAATGAATAGACAGGCAGACGGAGAGGCAGACGGATGAACCAATGGACGGACAGACACTTGAATGAATGAACATATTGTAGTCTCAAGTATGGATGGATTGATAAATGAAGAGATTGATGTTTAAAATAGGGAAAGGATTAATTAATTATTGGATAAATATATTGATGTATGAATTAATAGATTGATATCTCATGAGTGGATATATTAGTGCCATTAAGCAGAACTTTCTTCTTAGCATAATGATTCATCGATGCCTTAGTATCTCAATAAGTAGCTGAATGAAGAAGTGGTATGGTGGATGGATGAATGCAGGTGAGATGTATAGATGGCTTTTTGGATGAAAGGCTGAAATGATGAATGAATGGATAAGTAATTATTGAATGCATGAAACCATAAGTGAGAATAGAAGTGACTATCACATGGTCGATCTTGTGCCAATATTCAACTGTCAACCAGATACAGTCATACAAGTATATTGAAAACTTTTATAGGTAACTAATATTAACCAATCCTTGCTAATAGTGTATGGTCAACCATTCCAATAGAAAACATAAGTATTAGTGACAATAGAAACTATTATGCTGCACAGTTGACGATGCCAGTAGCCCAACCTGGTGAGAATTAATCTTTTCCTGTATTTTGTTATCTTATTCTGATTGTACTTTGTTTCCTAATTTTGGATTCTGGGCAAATCTTTTTTTCTTTAGCGGACAAAAAGCCTTACACTGCAAACCTGAAAGCTGAACGGAATAGTTGGCACACACTTGTTACTGAGATGTGGAAAGGTAGACTTATGTCAGATGCTCAGAAGGATGATCAGGTAATACAATGTACAGACATTTATAATGTGCCTTTTCATTGAGGTTATAAAGCACACGCCAAGTTTCATTGCTCAGGGAAAAACTCGAGGCAGCATGTACTGCAGCATTAAACACCCATGAAAATGACAAGCGCCACAGACAACTATATTGTCAAAAAATTAACAACAAAAGCACAACACAGACAAAAGATACACAATCAGTAAAATAACAATTGGAAGTCCTAGGCAAACAAGTGATTCTTGAGTGCACATTTGAAGATATTGGATTCTGAAATGTACAATTTAGCTTTCAAATTCAAAACTCAAAATATCTTTATTGTAGTCAAAGTAAACAGAGATTGAATAATTCAATACAGCACAAAGTTAAATGCATAAGTTGAAACAACGATTAAATTATAAAAATATAAATTTTACAAGGTTACAATAGAATAAAAAGGAAAAAATGAATTAGCAACCTCATTCATTCAAATTTATTTACAATGTAATTAATATCCAATTAAATATAATTATGATTTTTAATGATTATAATAATTTAAATTAACATCACAGTCATTTTGATTGTAATTATTAATTAATTATTTTTAAAACAATACAATGTGGAAGTAGTTAATTATTAATTCATTTAACTTGACATATTTACATTAACAATTTATTTCCATTGAGATAAACCATTTAGTAAAAATCTGCAAACAACCACAAAATTTAATTAAAACATATTCTTTTGTAAGATTCAGATAAGCTTCTGGTGAGGCAGGAATAAACAATTCAGTTTTTGATGATTTATAAATTTTTAAAATTCTATTACAAATATCTTTAAATCAACTACTAGACAATTTAAGTCTTGTGTCGAGAATATATTTACGAAATTATTTATACCTCCATTTATTGGTAGAAAAATGTATTTATTTTAATACTGAATTATATTTTACATTATTTATTGTATATTGTGTATTTTCAGTCTGTTTCCTCAGTGCTGAGCAAGCATTTTGTCAAGTTTATGACCATCGCTGATTATCTTTTCGTAGAAAAGGGTTCCATATTTTTTTTGTAAATTTCTAGGACTGTTTATGAAATAGTTATCAATATTTACAGGTGATTATGCAAGCTGCCCAGAATGTGGTGCTGCTTGATGCAGTCATTCGAAGTGCAGAAATAGAGAACGCCATGCATGCCAGACACATTGAGAGTGCAGCTGGGGTCAGTAGCTTATATTCCCCCTCTTCATATCAATTCTTTGTTTTCCTCTTTCTAATATACTAATAACAAAACGAATCCCTTTATACTGTATAGCCTTGTAATAACAACAGCAGTAGTAACAATAAAACAATTTTGTTTTATTTTTCCCAAAACTAAAATATGAGCAATTCAGAGTTCTGTAGTTTTCATCAGACAACATATGTTAAATAAATTTTGAAATTTTTATTTAAGCAATTTTTATTAATTCTTTCCCCCACAGATTCTTTGCTATTTTACACACAGCAACTGGTTAAAAGAATCGCCCAATGCTCTGAAGCATAGGATTAATCCATCGTTCGCAGAACCTAAAAGGACAACAGTCGAAGCAATGATCTACATTCCTGGAAGTAAGTCAACCTCCATTCTAAATCTGGGCACACACTGCCACAACATAACTAGCATGCAAAAAAGATCATGATCAATGATGATCCATTGAGAGTGCTACCGACAATCAGCGGATGATGTCTCGTCGTTTACATTTGTTGGCTAACGGCCGTATGACAGTAATGCGACGCATTGTCTGCCTAAATTTATTTTTGACACTGGAATCATGTCCATAATCATGAAGGTCTAAGGCAGAAAATGGTAGTGAACTTCTTTGTTAAAATCTGGCAAATTTATTGAATTCTTTTGTTTCCTAGTTTTGTTTCCTTATTTTATTTGTTTTTTTTTTTAAATTTTTCTATTGCAGCTACTTCATATGATATGTATTTAATTAACTTCTGCAGTAACTTTCTTTTTGGTATAAGATTGTGTTGTATGATATCACGTTAAAATGTCTGTACTTTATTTACATTTCTAATCATATTTATCCTGTAGATCGGAGTGGAGGGAAAATATCTGATGAAGATAGCAGCCCTAAGCTGTGGTGTGCAATGGCTTCTGGTAAAGTTAAAGTCTTTGATGCAACTACCTGGATGTTTGAGACTGAATTTTGTGATGCAAAAGATAGAGTGGTAACTTATGTTGAATTATTAAAGTTACAGTATTTTCTAAAAGTAATTTGAAAAAAACCTTGAAAACAGTGGTGCTGCCAAAGATTCCATGATGAGTGGTCCAATGCCCCTGACAGGGGTCCAAGGACCCTGACAAGAGGTCCAAGTGGTCCAAAGTTCCTGACAAGTGTCCACACCTGTCCTACTAAGAGCATGGTTGGAGCAAATTTACCTCTAGATGGCCGAAAATGGCACTTTTAGACTTTTTCAAATCAGTATGATTTTCTTCATTCCCATCCGGGGTCCAGGGATCATGGACCAGGGTCCTGTGCTCTCAGGACCCCTTGCTGGTGCTGCCACACTGGAAACAGATTAAAAACAAATTTTCATCAATGTAATGCATGCTTATTTTCTTTTGAAGTGTTGCTTGTTGTCAGTTGGTGTTGATAGTGTGTGGGCTGGCTCCTTTGACACTAACATTTACATCATTGATGTTGATACTTACACAGCCAATCAGAAACTTTGTGACCACAGTGATTATGTTTCCGATATGACAGTCAATGCAGATGAAACGTAAGTAGTACCTTAAATTTAGACATATTTTTTTAGATAGCAGCTTTACAGTCAGCTGTATACATATCAAGTAATATATATACATTTTTTTTGTTTACAATTTTTTTTTTTTAATTTATTAAAAAAAAATTTTTTTTTTAAATTTATTTATTTTTTTTAATTTATTTTTTTTGTTCCATGATGCCGCTATGAAGTCGTTGGATCAAAATTAAAAGAAAATATAATTTGCCTATCCAAACAACATTATTTTGATTGCCAATCCCAATTCGTCTAAAATCACTATTGGGCCATTGTAAAGCCTTGTTCGCACTGGGTTTAAAAAATGGTAAATTTAACCAGGGTAACTTTAACCAAAGTAATGGGTACATTTCACCATTGTTCGCACTTGGATTATTCACACGGTTAGTTTTACCATAGTTTTACCAAGATTTAACCTTGTGTATAAAAAATATTATTGAGGGCGCTAGTTTGTGACTACAATTTCCGGTTTTGTTCGAGCGGTGTCAACATGGAAGAAGTTTTAACCATGTTGCACGTTCGGATTGGACTTCTTGACCAGCGTGGTTAGTTTAACCGAGACCGTGGTAAGTTTTACTGGGCAGGCTGAGGTCGGTAAAATTAATCATTGTTTGTGACTACAATTTCCGATTTTGTTCGAGCAGTGTCAACATGGAAGAAGTTTTAACCATGTTGCACGTTCGGATTGGACTTCTTGACTAGCGTGGTTAGTTTAACCGAGACCGTGGTAAGTTTTACTGGGCAGGCTGAGGTCGGTAAAATTAATCATTCGGCTTGGTTAATTTAACCCTGAGGGAATTGTAACCGACGTTCGGATTGGATTTTTTTTGGTCAATTTAGCCAGTGACTCAGTTAATTTGACCAAATTAAGTCCAGTGCGATAGGGGCTTAAGACACAAAAACTCTCCCAGTGAACCCTACCAGGGACCGAGGCACTGGTCGACCCCTTGGTTCGAACCCCCTCTTTGGAAATGTCGGACCCCTTGATGGCAAATTTCTGGAGCCACCAGAGATTCCCCAACAGCGATCCAAATTTGAGTCTCAAACTCTGACAGTTTTTTACCTCATCCACACTGTGGTTGGAGAAATATGTTTTAAATAGGCACATCTAGATTCCATTCCTGTAAATTACCATATCAGACTGCAAAATACTTTTTCAAAAAAGGTTCTCCAAAGAAATGACTGGCTTCTTCCACAACAAGGCAGGGTCAAGAATTTCCCAATGGGACGTCATGTGCACCCTGGATCCCTACTAGTGCCACAAAGCCTTTAATTCGCTGCACCACATGCCTCTACAATTGATAATCAATAATAAATTTTATCTCAGCCACCAAGGAAGCCATTCGTGTGTTGGATCCTTCAACTGGTGATGAACTAAAGCGGCAGGTTTATTTGGATGAAAAGAATTTTCCTGTGAAATTGGATTGCTTCGTCATGTTACAAGACAAGGTTTTATCATTTTTTTGTTTTTATGCTTACTAAATCTTTATTTTTTTTAATTAATCTTTATTATTTATTAAATAACTATTTAATATTATTGATATTTTTACTATTGATTATTATATTCAGTATTTTTTTGAATGGAAATTCAAGATAATTAATAGTTAAGGTACTTTGTACAGTATTCAGAAAACCATAATACAATATAATAATTACTTCTAGCATGCTGGTATCTGTTTTAAGGGAATGCTTATAACACATTGACCTCAAAAGGTACTTTGTACAGTATTCAGAAAACCATAATACAATATAATAATAATTACTTCTAGCATACTGGTATCTGTTTTAAGGGAATGCTTATAACACATTGACCTCAAAATATACTGTATTTTATTTATTTTTTATTCATTTGGCATCATTGGTCGGGAGACGCAAAAGCAGGAAACCCACTGTCAACAGAAGGGTGTGGGACTGCCTATGTGCAAGACGAGGCTTAAAATAGCGATCGAAAAACGGGGTCGTTTTATATGTGCAACATACACAAATTTTTTATTTTTAAATCATGTTCATCAGATTGTCCTTGACATGCAAATTTACTACTGAAATGAAGCTAACTGTGCGTATGATCTGAATGAATGCAATTTTAAATTCGGAGAAAAAAGATTTTGATGAACATTTAAAAGCCCATAAAATGGTACTACTACTGTATTTGGAAGATTAGCCCTATTTTTGGCTCTGTTTAGCTAGCTACATGTAGTATCAAGATAATAAAGACCAGAAGTAGGAATTCCGAGAGTAAAACGGGGTTCGTCTTATATGCTCAACATACAAAAACCTTCTTAAGTTGTCTTATAGACAGACCGTCTTAAACGCAAGAATATACGGTATTTATTTACATGTTATGGCCAGTAGTAATCCTGTTATCCAACCACATAAATCAATTTTGTTTTATAGTTGTGGGTGGGCTGTGGAACAAGCGGTCAACTTATCATCTTCAATCAAGAGACTCTAGACGTGATTGACACTTTGCGTGTCAGTTGTCGTGGTATCAGTAAGCTGGTTGCAGTAGATAACCGGGTAAGACTTATTGAGACAAGTACCTTGTATAAAATTATGATAGTTCTTAAATAAGCTGCTTTCGCCCAAACTTACTATGATTAGCATTTATAATACCATATGCGGCATATAACAATTGACATCTGTGTTTTAATAATTTAATGTATTCTATAAATAGAGTGTGGGGCAAGGGCTTAGCCAGCTAACTGTCCGGGTGTCTTTTGGACGGCCAAGAATGATTTATGACGGCCACTTTAGCAAACCGTCTTGGACTTTTCCTGTAAAAATCTTGGATTCTGGATCAAAAAGTCCTCAGGTTTTGTATTTATATTTTTTGGAGGAACTCCTGGCTACCTGTAATTATATCCTCTACATCATAATCCTATGAGTGTAGTCCATCATTTAACTACACTAAGAGTACTTTCTGCCTTTATTGCACTAGCTGCTGTGGACAATTTCAAAAGAATTACTGTAATCATTTTTTAAGTCAAATGGGGATCTATAAAATATAAAAATGATTTTAAACCTGTTAGTTTTCACATAGTTTTCATATGGGGAATGGTATCCTTTTCTTTTTATCATTAGAGGAAGACACCCCCACAAACTTGGGGCCACACCCTTCAATTGTTGCTTAACACCAAAAATTTGACTAAACCCTTGGTGTGGGTGAAACTTGCTTTATTTCCATCGTAGAAATCTCTTCAGGAATCTCAGGTGTTTGATCCAATCACTGGTGTAATAATTTTTTGAAATTTGCTTTTACAGGAAATCTACTTATGACCAAATGTTTTCCTCATAATTGTTGTTATTACAATATTATTATTGAATGTAGTCTGTTTAGGATGTAGAGGTGAAGGTAGGAGAATTAACCCCCAGCGTCATTGTGCTGAATTCCATACAGGCGTGGTCCGTGACTACTTAGTGGCCGTAAAGAGATGCTTATAGTAACTTCGTGTTTACATCATTCCACAATGGCAGGGGCTGAAAATAACCATAGCATCGGGGTAACCCTCTACTCTTCTGAAAATTTAATAGGTTGTTTAAAGTGTGCCCAAACCCTCCAATTTAAGTTTGTCTTTATCCAAGAAAACTTGGTTCTACCAACTGAAGCCTAAGTGAAGAGCAGCTCGAACCAGCGCAGATGTTAAGGCTGTGTTAGTGGCGCCACCCCTGTACAGAATACAGAACTTACACATTGGCCACTGAAGTTGTTCAAAGAAGGCTAATAAACAAACAACTTCCTTAAATTTCTTTAAAGGTAACATGTGCTTAAATAAGAAACGATACTTAGATACACATATTTTATTCTTTTTACAATAGATTTGGGCTGGCAGCAAAAATGGTAGACTGCACGTGTTCAACAGCGAGACATTTCGCAAAGAGAAAGATCTTGAGGCTCATGAGGATGCTATTCGCTCCATGTGCACCGCAGACTCGCAGTATATTATATCAGGATCAGGAAGTAGGGATGGAAAAGTTGCAATTTGGAAAGCAAACTTTGTTTCATCATAGGCAGTGACATACCAAAGTTGTTTCATATATGAACAAAAATTAATTAAGTGGCGAATTTCATTTGCTCTTGGTTGGGTATCAATATAAAATAAAAATAATTTTTGTATGCAATAATTATTATTTAAATAACAACAGTAATGATAACAATTATTATGTGTATAATAACATGGTTCCCTATTAGGCAACAAATAGTGACTTTAATCAAATGTTTATGTGACATTATTTATAGACAATGACATAGTTTGTGACATCGGCAGTATTTTTGTTAATTGAGGCTTGCCTTCACAAAACCAGCATCAGTGACCAAAAACTGGAAATTGACTTTTTGATATTTACTCTTATTTTCCAAATTTTAAGCTTTAAAATGATGGGTCATTTACTGGAATCAAATTGTGACTGCCTAAGTTATGAGTAAAAATAAATATTTTAGCTTCTCTGTACTAAAATATACAATACTGTTAAATATGTATTCTAATTGCTCGGACTCAGTTTAACAATTAGCCAGAGTACGCTGATTTTGGAATGGCAATCCTCAATTGGTCATTTTTATAATCTTGTATAATTTGCTCCATTCAGTATATAATAGTACTGCCTTTGCACGTTGTTTCAATTAAGATACCATGAACAAATAAATGATGGCTAATCATGTCTTGAATAGACCACAACACATATTTGTTATGTCACAGCCATTTGTGTTCTCTATTATATTATGAGAGTGGTATTTTCTAATGTCATAGGCAATTGTGATCAGTACTCAATACGAAGAATGTATATTTTGTGCATTTTATAAGCAGTAGTAACATGTAATTATACCATAGTATTATCGGCATCCATAGTATTTTGTAATGTAAAACTGTAATAGTAATTTCAGCTCGATGTAGCACATATACTAGATGCCTCATTTTCTTTGCAGGTTAATGAAGAAACAGAAAATAAAACAGAAATGCTATGTAGTATTTACTACTGTATATTTTAGAGATGCAATTCATCCCAACACCACAAAGAGACACAAACTTAAAAAATCATGCTTTTTCCATTTTTTTTTCTTTGACATTTTAAGACACTATTTAGTTAGACTATAATACTAAATAATAATACTAAATACTAAATAATACTAAATAATAATAATACTAAATAATACTAAATTAAATTTAATTAATTAAATTTATGGATTTGTGAAGTAGTTTACTTAAAACACGTTTTTCTCAAAACTTTGTATTGGTCGAAATTGAAGTTTGTATTTCTTTCAGAAATAGTAACATTGTATTTTTCTACGGATAATCTTTATAAAATTAGTCTATGCATCAAAGTTAACAGTATTATTAAGTCTTCCAATTTTATAATACAAATTATTAATTGTATTTTTGTTTTACACTACCAAGATAAATATTATGTTTTGACAAAAACAAATGAACTTGGTATTTTGTTTTGGCTGTAGTAATTTTCTGTGTAGGCTTACTTTCTGGAATTGAGGCGCAAAGACTGTATAAGTCTTTGTAGAGTAGCAGAAAATCCTCTGTAATTAATTATTTTAATAGAAAGACACAATTACTTGCCAATAACTTCAAACTTTTCACTTGATTTTTTGTTTGAAATAGGTGTCAATACAAATTCCAATGTTTTTAAGAAAGGAATAATAAAAAAATATCAATCTGTAATATCGATTTGAGAGAATTTCTTCGAGAAACGTGAAATGCATTTTTGGTTATCCTACACACAAATTTAATGGCATTCATTTTTATGTAAATAAACATTACAAAACCACAATTATAAAACTTAAACTCCACAGGAGAGCACAGCACATGAGAAAATGAACACATAACACTAATATTTACAGATTAAAACAAATATATTTACACCTTATTTAGTCAATTCTAGTATCATGTATGACCTTTTAACCTTCCAGAACTCAATAATTTGGGCATAAAAAAATTAAAAGTGGACTGAAAAGAGTTGGCACCATCAGGACTGGGCATAATGCTTGTTAACACTCACAACAGTTTAAAAAGCCCTGCTGGCAATTGCCCCCCCCCCCTGTTTGACAGCTATATACAATATACGAATGTGTCCCTCCCCCTCTAAATTTAAAGTGTCTATTTATATAGATTCATAAAATATGGTATAAAATATATAACACCCTTATTTACAAAAAAAATCCTATCTGGCTGTCTAAATTATTCTCACTAGTCCTGAATAATCCAGTGGTTCAAGGTAATTTGAATACAAAGTGCATCAAAGATTTTGGTGGTTGAACAAATGTCCCCATCTACCTCATCCAACCCCAGTTTATTGGTGGTATAACAAATTATTTACATAAAAACCTATATAACAACTTGATTTTTAAACAATCCCATTAGGTAAGCCTAATTCTGAATAATTCAATGATTCAAGGTAATTTGAATGTGTATCAAAGATGTTTGTTGGTTGAATAAATATCCACCTCTCCCTCATCCAAGCCCAATGTTTTGGCTCATAAAGATGGTATTATATAAATTATTTATATAAAAACCTATATAACACCCTGATTATAGACATTTCTAACACTGTGAGGTAACCTTCTGAATAATTCAATGATTCAAGGTAATTTAATTTGAATATAATGTGTATCAAGATTCTTGATGGTTAATTATTTGTATGTTTGTTAATATAATGTATTGTTGAAATATGTAAATTACTGAAATTTACTGGTAAGTCAGTCCTTCAGTCAATCATGTACTGTATGACCAATAACTGACCTTGATATTTATGAATCTATTAAAATTTTAAGGCAAAATTAGTCACTAATTCTCTAAAGCCACTTTCAGACAGACAGGCTGGCAATATCGCGGTAACAATGCTGTTATGCTTACCAGCATGCACCTTTTTATACCAAACACATATTGCAGTACTATTACTGCAATATAATGCCTTTCTCTATGAATGGATTACAAACTTTGGCATGTAATTGGTTATGTCAACTGTATAAAAAAATGCAAGTTTACCTGTAACCATTATGCTATAGGCCTAGATTTTGGTATAACTGGTGTATTGACATACTGTACACGCTATATCATATTTCCGAGGATTTCAGTTTCCTCTGTTTTGATGTAGGCATAGTCCCACCCTACCCCCACCCCCAATAATACCACATAATTGAGTTTTAAAGATAATAGGGCCAATTTTATTATTTTGTAGTTCATTACTTCCAATTTAATTATCGTACAGAAGGGACTGCCGGGAAGATCCCGCAATAATGCGGTAATGTAGTTCTGTATGAAAATGGCTTAATAATTTGATCTCAGAGTAGGGGGCCTGCAGTAAGTAAAGTTACCCTAAGTAGGGGAGACTCATGGGCACTGTTCTTGATCATCGAAAGTATATACAGTCACACCTATTAGTGTTTAAAATAACTGCAGGCTTCTTATCACACACACACATCCCACCTCCACCCCACACATAAACTCATCAACAGTTACTTCCATGGTTGTTTTGGTGAATTATACTTTTGGTTGCTTGTATCCTGGTTTCTACAACCATTAGCAGATCTGGGTCGTGTTGCACCAGCTGAAAATGGTCGATCTCCTGTTGATGACCTGGGTCTTGCTACTTCTGGCAATTTTTGCATCACACTCATACTTCCAGCTACTGGTGGACTCCATATTAGTGTTTGTCCCTTAACAGAGTTATCTTTCTTTTCCCAAGGTGCAGGAAAACTGGGAGCCGGTAACGGAGGTCCAAATAGACTCTCATCAACATACGATTCAGAGTGTTTAACAATCCTGTATTGGTTTCTTGTCCGTGGCATTCCTTTTAGAGGTGTCTTAATTGAAAGCGTTTTTGTCGTCGATGTTGAGTGTAAGTTGTCCCTTTTCCCATCACCTTGTGGTTTTTTAGTTAGTTTTACAGCAGAAGTTTTGAAAAGTGTCTCATCCACTTGAGATTCTTCTGCTACTTTTCGATATTTGTATGTTTTTTTGATGGGTGTATTTGTTCTGGATGTACTCCTCGTACTCAAGCTAGACTCTCGACCAGTTATATCACAACTATTCAACGACATATCCACATTTTACCTGAAAATCTGAAAATAAAATTATTACACTGCGTTAAACTGTGTGTTAAAATCCAAAGTAGCAATCATACACCAATTGAATTGTATTGTTTCGATTATTGGCTATAAATTAGCTCTGTCTCGGCACTAAACCAGGCCTAGCGGGGACTTCGCCGGGGATGTAATTTTAAAAACGGTTACATGCATGTGAAGGTCCCGGCAATGCGGGGCATTGTTTTAACATACATCCATCCATAACTAACTCCCCGCTACTTACCGCCGTAGTCCCAGTAAACTACCTAGGCTAGGCCTACACTCTGCCTAGCCTAGGTAGGCTAGAGACTAGGCCTACTAGCCTAAGCCAGCTAGGGCCTAGGCTTGCTAGACTAGCCTAAGCCTAGGGCAGCAGCCTAGGGTCTAGGCCCAGGCCTTGTACCGGCCCTAACCTAGGCTGGGCCTAGCCCTAGCCTAGATCAAGTTTCGATTGTACTACTAGGCCTAGCTAGGCCTAAGCTAGGCTAGCTAGGCTTGGTTTTGCAGACAAATTGGCACCCTAGTCCTACTTCAGTCAAAAAATAAGAAAAATGTAGTAAATACCAGTACGAAATTTAATAACAATCATCGGCTAGCCTAGAAGCCTAGCCTAATTTCACTGTTCCCTGGCCTAATTAAGCCTAGGCCTAGCCTAGTCGCTGATTTTCTATCTTTCTTTTCACTTTGTTGTCTTGTTTTCTCTCTCTTCATCCAAATCCGAACAAAAGAGCTTCAAACTACGTTCACTCGCGTCAACTGAGATTAGGTTAACTCAGACTGCGTCAACAATTATTTTTCAAGCGGATGCTTAGCCCACAATAGTTTTATCGTACTCTGTAATACCATAGAGAAAAATAATAGAACAGTTTGTTCTATTTTCTCTATGGTAATACCATGGAAGAATTAGTTTACAAGTCTATACAGTGGGTGACTAAGCACCAGGTCTATAAACAAAAGGTTACATGGTCTTATCATGGTCTTATAATAATAATAATTTATTAGGAACTACATTTCAATCAGTGGCACACTTCTCAATCGAAGGTGCGTCCAAAACAATATGTACAGTAAAGTTCACAAAAAAGACTTATGCTAAGAAAAAGACAATTCAAATTTTCAAAAGGGACATAAGGAAAAGTAAAAAAGAAACTGTTCAGCCATATAAAATTAAAAGCAAACTTAAACTAAAAAAACTTAAGGCAAAATAAAGTGATGCAAATAATCACATGAACAATTATGATACAAACACCATACAAACGTACAGGAAATACACATACAGTACATAAGTACATAGGAAGTACATATATATCTATACGACTGTACCGTACTCACAATTATAAAAATAATCACTAGCAATAGTTTAAAAGGAGGCCCTAAGTCTGACAGAAGCAAAATAGGTATAAATCAATTGCTGGTCAGTGTGACAAAACAAAGGAAATAGGCCTAGGAAAAAAATGGAAATGAAACAAAATAAAATGTACAGAAGCCGGTGATACAAGAATAATGGAGATAATAATAATAATAATAATAATAATAATAATAATAATAATAATAATAATAATAATAATAATAATAATAATAATAATAATAATAAAAGGGCAAGTAGCTTATAACTTAACTTATCAAACATGCCATTTATTATTATTATTTATTTATTTATTTATAACGAATATTTCGGGAGCGCCTGCTCTCTTCTTCAGCGTAATGTCTATATGTATAAATCAGTAGGCATTACGCTGAAGAAGAGAGCGAAATATTCGTTATTAAATAAATTTTTATTTTTATAATAATATCAAAAATGCCATTTATTATTATTATTATTTATTATTATTATTATTATTATTATTATTATTATTATTATTATTATTATTATTATTAATTTATTTATTTATAAGGAATATTTCGGGACGCCTGCTCTCTTCTTTAGCGTAATGCCTATATGATAAATCAGTAGGCATTACGCTGAAGAAGAGAGCGAAATATTCGTTATTAAATAAATGTTTATATATCCTGCAAAAACGTCAACCGCCTATGTCGTTATTTTTTGTCATCATTCTACCATATATATAGGGCCATATACCTGACAGGGCCGTCGGAACCGCTCCGGCAGCACCGGCTTTCAGTTTCTATCAATTTTATTACTTCTTAAAAATAATTATATACTGATACCTATAAATTATACGAATTAGGCTAATTATTAATGTCTTTTTAATGTTAATAAATTTAAACAAAAATTCACCACTTGTTTTTGTATTGTCTATGTACACTTTAACTTTTAACTTTTTTTGACTGCCAATCCTTAAATTTAGTAATTAGCCTAAGATTGATTTTAAAAATGTTTAAATTAAATATAAAATAACTATTTATAAAATTTTGGGAGTTGGAGGCAGGCAAATTTTCGTCACCACACAAAGGTATATGGGTCAAGCCGTCCCTAATTACTTGCAATCAAAATTTATACCCCTAAAGTGGGCCATTCATCTTTTAAGTACCATGCATGTGGCCGATGCGATTCCGACGGCCCTTAAAGTGTAATCGGTGCAAGGCCTAACATAAGCAAACACAGCACTTAATAAAAAAAAAATTAACAAGAACTCATCTACAGCGTGATAATAATCCTCTTTAGCATTATGTAGGCCTACAAGGGATAATTAGGCCTTTAATATATCTATTTTGTGAATATACTGTAGGTCTAATGTTTTCTTGCATAGTTACTAACTTGAGAGATTTGAAATTCGTTACTACACCAGTTGGCTGGTTAAAGGGGGGGATGCCGGGCCCCCTCCAGGGTCCAGAGGCAGAGGTCCGGCAGGGATCGAAAACTCGCAAAATAAGCTGTTTTTATGTGCTTTTTAACAAATTAA